CTAGAACCTCTTCTAATACTAATCGATTTTAGGATTATATTCGTATAATTAAAGGTAACTAAAAATAACATTTATACTAAGAGAATTAATAACGGTAAATATAATCCTTTTCATCCGCTTAATATTATAAGAATCTTATATTTTAATAAAATAAGTAATTGAACTACGTATAAGAATAAATTAGAAAAGAAATTAATAAAATAATAATTTATAAATTCTATTTTAATATCCGACGGGAGTAAATACCTTCTAATAAAATTTAATTCTACACCGGAATTTATTAAACTATAAATTTCCACCAATTTCTATATATTCTTACTGACAATTTTATACTCAAATACAATTACAATATACCCGCGCTTCCCTAAATTAAGGTAGTCGCAATCCTTACTAGTACTACCAATTTAATATTCGCGCCTTAAATTAAAGTATTATAAGGAATAAGGTATTAATATAATATATAACTTAATTTACTATAATTATAATAAATACATTTAATATAAGAAAACGCTAAGTATCTAAATTTACCACATTCGTAGCAAATATTATATAATTTTATTACCTAATATTAGCCGTATATATATTTAAATTAATTATGATAATAATAAATAATATTAAAGTTAATAGAGACCGTAGGAAGAGGACGAAAAAAACCACTAGGACTAAAAATAAATATAAAAATAAAAATAAGAATAGAAATAAAAAGAAAAGAGGGAATGAATAAGTAAAGATATAATACCTAAAGGCACTAACGCTATATTATCAACTCTAAAATTTCCAAACTCTCTAATCGCTCTATATATACCATCGCTTCAATTAACGTATTAATACCGTTCGCCAACAAAACGCCGCTATGCAAATAGGAACGTAAGCGGTTAACCTATTATAAAACGCGTAAATATTCTAATTATTCGTAAGACAAATTAAACTCTTTAATATAAAAATAGTCGTAAAACGTACGAACAATCTTAGTAGTACTTTACTATATACGCTTAAAATTAACAAGGGTAGAACGTTCGATAATTTAAATCTTACCACTATACTCCTTCTTTAAAAAAGCATATAAATCTTTCGAAATAGAAATATTATAAATAAAGTCGTAATCAATTTTCTTTTTAAAAATTATAATATACTTAATTTATACGTTTTTAAAATTACTTTCAATATAATTAACGATAAAAGAAAAAGGTATCCGGGGGTATTTGAAATAATAATTATCAATATCGAAAATAAAACTACGTAATTAAGAGGAACTCTCGCTAATAAATTTAAAAATATTAAACTTAGCATAATATTTAAATAAAATAATAAATTACATTAACTAAATAAATATAAAAATAATAAGCGCTGCAACCTAGGGAACAATAATAGGAATAGAGAAGGTCAAAAAGCGCACCTAATTATAAAAAAAATAATCCTAATAACAGAATCCGAAAGGAATAGGAGGGTAATTACCGAATTAATCTTATTCTAATAAGTCCACTAAATTATTCCAATTGTAAAAAAAATATATAAGATAAGAAGTAAATTAAAAATAATTTAATAACTATTATATAGGATTTAAAGAATCTTTACTTCTATATTATAGTATCGTTCTCTAAATAATAGAAAAGATTATACAAAACGTACAAAGGGGCAAAGGAGCGGTCATTATCCTAATTATCGTTATTTATTTCTTCGATAATTAGCTAATGATATTAGGACGAAAGAAGAAGCTATTATTAAAAATTATTATCAGTTATAATAAGAGGGGTAATAAGCAACTCTTACGTGCCAGATGTAGAGGGAGGGGTTTCTTCGACAATTTAAAAAATAAATCGTCCGCTATATATTTATATCTTATCAGTAACGATTTAACTCCCGTAGAAAGAACTATTAACGTATTAGAATTATAGAGGAAAGTAGGTTAAAGTGCCTATAAATAGCGTAAATACGTAGGGGACGTTAAAATAGGGGGAGGATTAAAAATATATTAATAATGAACTCCAACAACTTTTGAAGCGAATTCGACCGGCTATTTATATCGTTATAAACTCTATCCTATAGTAACTAAGTCTACGACAGCTCCGAACCGTTCCAATACTATACTACAGCGCTTATACTATACGGACATTGGTGCTCTTTGGTGCTAGCATGGGTCCAACGCCTAATAGGTCCTTAGCGACCTAACAATATTTTAAGAGGTATAAAGTTTTTATTATAGTTAGGAAGGGTAGCCTTCCCTATAATTTTATAGAATTTATCCTCCTCATTTCAAAATTAGTTAAGAAAGCGCTAAGGTCCCATTCTATTGGTTAAGTAGCCTTCTATACCTTTATTTTTAGTACATAATATAAATAAATAGGACTCTAAATACGAATTATAAACCTACGGCAGTCGTTATTAATAATGGCCTCGTCCTAGCCTTCCTTTTGTTTAAGTATTGAATTGTATTTTAGGTAGTCTATAGTAATACCGACGAGACTATTAGTATTAGGAACGCTATCCTTATTAAGTTTAAATATAATTTTATTTTAGCCTTTAATTTTCGTAGTAGTTACTACTTAAAATTAGGATTTTCTTCGAGGGCGACCTTTTTAATAAAGGTAAAGTTAGCTCGCTAAATTTCTTTTAGTCCTTCCTCTATATTAACCACCCTTCTTATTACAATTTTAATATTAAATACTTCTTTCGTATAGGCGCTATTACTAATAAAGATATATTTACGAAGGTTCTACTTTTTAGCTTCTATTTTAATACGGCGCTTTTAATTCTCTTACTAATTAAATACTAGCTTTTATATATTAATAGAAACCTTTAGGGTAACTTTCACACTGCTATCCTACGTTTTAAACAGTAAATTAGTTTTTTTAATCCGTCCCTATATAGTCAGTGAATCGAAGGTACGAAGGACCTTATATAGTAAAATGGTTTTAAAATGTTTAGGGAATAAGGGTTTTTATTATACTTTTGTAGCTTTATAAAGTTTATTAAGAGGGACGTCAGGTTTAAAAGGCTAAAGATTAGTCTTTTCCTATTCCTTATAAATATTACTTCGAATAAAACTTGCTTCCTTAACTTTCTTCCAATTATTTAAGAAGACTATACAGTTAATATTAATAGCCCCGCTAGTAATCTCGTCTATTAGAGCCTTCTAATAAGCCTTCTTAATTACTTAATAAACCCCTACATTAAATAGTTAAAATATATAATTAGTATATAAGGGTAGAGTATAAGGTATAATATCGAAGGCTTTATAGTACTATAGAATATACAAGTCCTTATAAATTTTAAATCCGTTTATAAATAATACCCTATATACATTTGGCTTTATTAAGAAGTTTAACGCTATATTATCGCTACTTTTAGAAGGCTCTAGGTTTTTAAAAGGAGGTAGGTAGTTAGGTAATAAATTAAACTAATCCTCTATAATCTTATTAAATAAGGGATATAATTTAAAAGAGTATTAATAAAGTGCTTAATCTATTATAATACTTAGTATATATTATTATATCCAATCGATATATTTATAATAATTACGTTTAAATTTACTTTGTAATTAGCTTATATATTGCTTTATACCTATAGTTAAATTAATTTGAGGGAGATTAAATTTAATTATAGACAACGAAGTTAGAGCTTTACTATAATCTATACTTTAAATATTAGGAAGGAAGGAATACTCTTAGTCGCGGCCGATATAGTATCGATAGTAATTAAACTTTCTTTATTACTAGGATTAAATATAATACGCCTTATACGGGCTCTATTTTTTATAAATAATACCCATTATCATAATAACTAGTATAAAGTTATTTAATAAAGTAATATAGGGGGATATAATAAGGCAATATAATCCTATACCTTTATAATTCCCTTAAGTTTCCCTATTTAAAAAGGAGATTTGTCTATATTTTAAACGTTCTCCTCTTTAATATTAAAACTATTATAAATAATTTTTACCTCCTTGAACTATTTTTAAGCGAGTTTAATTAAGCTTCAACGCTTATCCTTTTTATATCTTTAAAGCTAGCCGCTTTAAATTCAAACTTAAGGTATTTTTTTTGCTACTTAATAGGCTAATTCCTATAGAAGTTCATTAAAGGGGGGTATAACTGTTAAATACGTAATTAGTTCGCTAATTTAACGAAGGAGGTATTATTTAAAGGGAAGTGGCTACGGTTAGCGATCCAGATTACAATATTAAGAGTTTTGTCCTCGTTTACAATTAAAGCTAGCAGTCGATAAGTTTCTATATTGGTCGGTAGAGCCTTACTTACCCTCCCTAATAAGTATTATATATTTTTTAATAATAGCCTTATTAACGTTAAATAGCTCCTTTATATTCTTATACGTAACCTTCCCTTTATTTCTAGTTTTAGTATTAGCCTTAAATCGTAAGGCAGTGGATCGGGTCATAGTTACGGTCTAACCTATAATAAAATACTGAGCGGCCTTCTTTATATGGGATGTAACGTCGGGGTTAAATATAGGTATGATGAAAGTATATGCAAAAGATGAGTACGACGAAACGAGTAGAATAAAGTTATTCACAGTACGATACAATAAAGATTGGTGATGTTCTGGTTGAATGCAGTTTCTATACCGTTATAGAGCTTGTACGTTATAGGTAAAAAATCCGACTCTCAGAGGGACGAGGAGAGTCGGTTGGCTGGCTGTAAGCGGGCCCCCAAAGGGAGGCCCCACATGGCCCCCAGAGGGTGGCCAGTGCGTGCACCTAACCGACGAGTAGGCGAATGTTCAAGATGCAAAGATCCGGATGGATGGCCTGACTGAACCCCCCAAGGACTCACTCTTGAAAGACGAATCACCCTAGAGGGTCACAGCCCGACGTAACTGTCCTCCGCGATGGTGTCTGAATTCTCGGTCCCTTGAATTACCGGGGAATTGGGTCCCCTGTTCAGTTTCGTCCCAGCCCAAGAAGAATTCGGCGTCTTGGTTATCGTGGAGAACCTTGCCGCATTTCAAACAAGACTCTGGGGAATGGATAGGCGCCCGGCTACCACCTTGTACCCGATCCGAAGGCAGTGCTGTACATGAATCGTATCCTGAAACATATGTTCATCAAACCAAGCAGATCTTCATCGTGAATTCAGGATATTTCTGGACACGCAAGTACAAATACTCAGCAACTGCAATCAGTTGATCTGACCTTAAATATTGTCTTGCTCATCGCCCTCGTTCTGATATCCGCCCCGTTCGCTTCGATCTCTTAGTCCCGTTTCAATCAGTCTCTTCAGCCATCGTCGCTGGCCGACTTTTACAATCTCTCCAACTTTCATTCGCCCAACACTCGTTTATTCCTAGCCCGTCAACGTCAGAATTATTCTCACCATGAAGCTCATCACCGGTGTCGTGCTCGCCCTCGTCTCTGTGGCTATGGCTTATCCCACGGCCGTCAACAACAATGGTGAGTAAGCCAAGCTGATGGAAGAAGCCGCTTGGAACTTTGGCATCAATGTATTCATTATTCACGACACTGACATCAGCGGCAGCTCAAGTTGTGAGACGTCAGGACCTTCAGCATCAAGTTGATCCCAGTGTACCTGCCATGTCAGATGCGAGCGGCAACGTCGTACCATTCAACAGCACTTCGGTTTATGAAGCTGCCACTGCCAACGGGCAATGAGGCCAAGGAACGAAAAGGGAATGAACGATACATATGCAGCCCGATGTTCACGGGGCAGGGCTATTGGGGGGATGACAGAAGCGCCATGGCGTGCCCGAGATCGTAAGGGAGAGGCTGTAATGAGGATATTCAACCACCGCAGGACGGAATTGAGGATGACCTAGGAGATTGGTCTCGTTCGGCGTTTCGCTGTGAGGCTGGCGTCCCTTGCGGGCTCCGAGATTTGGTAGACATCATTATCTGCCTGTCAGAGGGACTCTGGCCGATGCCATGATCGAGAAGGCCGGTGATGACGCACTGTCCCGGTCAATGCAGGGCGATTGAGTTTTTAAAAGGTTGATAAATGAGTGATAAGCTGTTTACCGCGCTTCTGGGGTTTGAAGTGCTGGTCTGCGGAGAGTTTCTTGAACAGAGTCGGTGCCAGACCAAATTCGGTGTTTGGAGAAAGTGACAAATGACCAATTTCTCTCCAGAAAATATGACTTTTTGGCAGGCCTTTTCTAGTATTCTTTGTAGTCTAAGTGGATCTCACAGGCTGGAGCTTCCCTCCTTGAGGCGCAGCCGGCAGGCAGCGGTCTTTTTCGATCCGGTCATTGGTCAGTCTGGGCCAAGTCTCGCGCTTGGTCTTATTTTTGGATCTCTCTCCCTTCCTTTTCCGCTTCCTGCGCTTGTAATCACCATCCTCCAATCCCGTATGTCCGACAACTCCTACTCAACACAGGCATGCCACGATGTCGGAGACGTGGAGTGACAGGAGCTTTATCTCGTCGCCAAATGGGTAAGGATCGCGACAAGCGCTGGAGGCTGCGCTGTTGGTTCCCAGAGCGCCCCGTTGTGACCGTGTCGTCCACCAAATCGATAGATCGTCAGCCCTGCGCCTAACACTCACTAGCTCATGGTATTAGCCCACTTGGGCATGCATGCACTTTCACAAACCCAATCAGGAAGAGGTGGCTTCCATCGATCTTCCTGTTCCTTGCTTTGCCATGGAGCGGCCGCGAGACAGCCACCGCCTAAATCTAGGTACACTACAGCCCAGCCAACGCTTCCCGAGACAACGAAACCAGAGACAAACGGGCGCTTGTCCCCATGAGCCAGTGGACCTCTGCGTTTCCCTTCTGAGTTTTCCTACAGGAATCCACTTCTCAGCCCTTCTCGTTGGGTTGCCGAGCGCTGAGGTGTGAAAGGCTACGGATAAAATGCCGAAGCGTTCTCCATCCGACAAATATCTTTCCTCCGCTTCTACTGGCGGATCCGGAAAGGGCAAGCCTTTGCTGTTAACATACGTTCGCCGATCTCATTCTATCTTACCGACCTTCACTGCCACGCTGGGAATAGTTGCCGGGGACTTGGGAGCGGGGTGACCAGCATCAATGGGAAAGGATACGCGATTCACGCTCAGGAGGAACGACGCTCAATGACCTCGACCAACAGGCGCCTTCTTCACTCACAACTACACCCGTTTATATATTGCGGCACCTCACATGCAATAATCGACAATATTTCAGCATGACTGTGAATCTGGATCAGGTGCTCTTCGCACGCGCTGAATGGCGCTTTCGCTTCCTCGCTCCATGTTGGATGATACAAGTTGGGATTCTTCTGAGCCTGGTTGGCCTATTCTCCTACCGGCTTTTCGTGACCTCTCAGACTTTTGACGACGAGATATCGCATGGCCAGGATCCTATAGTTCAAATAGTGTATGTCAGGACAATGGCTCCCCACACTCTACCAAACGATGCACTAACAAGGAGGCGTTTCATCAGTTGGGAATCCACCCAAGTTGGTTTCTCATTCATCTCCGCAACTCTTACTGTTGCTGAAGTATGGAAGGCGAGGTCTGAGACCTTGACTCCCTTCTTCATGCTGTGCACAAATCTCATAAAATCCACACTCGCTAGTGGCATGCTGGGCTTAGATGCTACCGTCTATGTCCAATATTCGAACCACCACTACTCTGTAGTTGGCTTGGCTTTGGATTGTATCCTCCTGTAAGGAAAAAAAACTGCTCTCAGCATGATAATTGCCAGGCTGACGTTTGATACAGTGGCATAACACTTATAATGCTCTTCTACGCTTTCTACACATATCGTCGCCTCCTAAAGTTTGAAGCCTATGATCTAGCCTATAACAAATCAGGAGGCTGCAGCTACAGCAACGGCCATGGGCAGGATCTAGGCTATACCGTCAAAATATTCGGCGGAAAGGAGAACCGAGAGCCGTCGCCAACACCCGAAGCCTTGAAGTCTCGGATTGATCAGGCAATCGGCGCCGAGTTCGGGTGGGGAAGCCGTCCGTCGGGAAGCGTCACGGAGCGCTCTGGCATAGTGGTCGCGTCCGGATCGGTTCAAAGCGGCGTGCCCACCCGACCGGCAGAGTTACACAGGGCACGGAGCTGGGTGACCGAGACTGGCGTGGCTGGCCCGAATACGTCCGCGGAACGCGTTGATGCGAACGGGAGGAATACTGACGACGATTACCATGATTATTATGAACTAGCTCATGCACGCAGTCTCAGCATTCCTACATTGGTAGTAACTCCTCATGGTGAGGATGGCGATAGCGAAGCGTTGTTGACGGGGCAATGGCGAGGCGCGGATGGAAGTAGATAAATGGCACAGGTATCTGTGTGACATATGAAGCATTGCGGCGCGGCGCTTGGTGTACCGGTGGCTAACGGCAGTGGTTGGTTCTATGCTTTTTGTTTAATACCCCTATCTGTTAATGAAACTGCCCGCATATTTACTGTTGTTCAGTTTGATCACCGGGACAATCAACGCGGGCGATGTTGCAACGGTAGGTTTATACCAACCATCTTCATTTCAAGGATAACTTGCCGAAAATAGGAAGTGTAAAAATTATCTGCTTGCCTCGTTATGCCTTCATTTTGGTGTTTTGAGCAAGAATATCTTTTGTCTGATGCGGGATGGCCATTCATGCCGTGCCTCACTACTTAACCCTAACCCGTAAGGTAGCATCTGTATTGCAACGCACCAACCACGAAGGTTCACGAACTCGAGCAGTGGCCTGAAAATGCGAAGCAGCCTTCGTCTTCCATTTTTATACATGGCCTTTTTCCTACCTGCCAGCCAACAAGCAACTCGAAATGGATTTATCTCGTGCAAAAACCAACATTCATCTGCGCCCACACACGGGAGGAAAGCACAGCAACCTAGACGGAACGGCACTGATCAGCAGCTTCGCATATGGGTACCTGCTTCCAACATCTGAAGCTTGCTCCCAACTCCCTCCAACATCCACATAAACAACTGTCGAATATAGGGGGTCCAGAGCTGCCACTACTCCGTCACAAATGAAAACATTGCCAGCTGTGCAACGCACCTTGACGCCATCACGAACCGAATTCCCTATCAGATGGCGCCATGAGAACGTCAAGTGGGGAGGCTTAGTGGCCTGGTGGATCAGCCCTACAGCACGGCTGATGCGTCTTTTCTTGGCCGGACGTCAACTCCGACCAACCGTCAAAAGGTCCAGGGCAGTGAAAGGAGGGCATCTGACGTCCCAACGGGAATAATCTGTAACTTGGGGGACAAGCCCAACTCAGCCTTGGTCAGATCCATTTCTTAAGTACCCTACCGACGCCAGTCAGGCTTGCTAGGATGGAGTCGACTCGGAGTTGGTGTAACCATAAAAGGCTGCGTGCGCTAGCTCAACATAATTCCCTTCTTATAAGGTGGCCTTTAGTCTTTTTCACTGACGATGCCCACTCTTCTCGTCACATCTGGCTTCACCATCGTGGCCGTGTTTGCCTCACTCGCATTCATGGCTTCCAAATGGCGAAAGGCGGAGACGCCTAGCTCCAACAACACAAAGTTCTTTGGCTCTCAGATCGGAGAGCAGTCGGTCATCAACTACAGCTACACGGATCGACCGTTGAAGTTGATGGCCTTTGATATCTACTATTTCTTCAAGTTCATCTGGGCTCTTCCCTACGTCTTGATCCCCCTGTCACCATCGGATTCTGGAGACTTGGACGAGCTATCTATCACGCGGGGAAACCTATTCTGTGTTGGTCTCCACGCAGTACTCGTTGTGTTGCAGCTTGGGTTTATAGCGACCCTCCCAACACTTGTTTTGTTCCCCGTCTGGACCGCTGCCTTGGCTATCGGGTTGTTTATGCTCGTCAATTATGGGCTTTGCACTCTGCTCAATGGGAAGGAGGTCGAATACCATTCCGACCCAAAATACGCACCGGCGCTTCCTGAGCATGCCCATGAACAGTGGATCTTCATCAACGGTGTGGCAGTAGGGTAAGTCACTGGCTGAAACTTGGTCTTACGAAACCCCGGTTCCTGAAGGAGCTGAGCTGACAAGACGGTAGAGAGCACTGGATGCAGAGTAACCTTAACCGACTAGCCATCACGTTCAAGCGCCCCATCCTCGGGATACACAACAAAACGTGAGTCCAATGCCCTCGGAGACCATTCGTGTCACTCTAAGCTCACCGATCCAGTGCCGGTATCCTATTCGATGTCATCGAATGTCTTGTCCAACGCAACCTTGGCTACGCCACAGCAGACGTGCGAATCTGCTACCGGATCATCAAGGAGAAGCTCTACAACCCGCAGTACTCCAAGGTCATCTTCATCCTGCATTCCCAAGGTGCCATCGAGGGAGGCATGATCATTGATTGGCTTCTCCAAGAACTTCCCCAAAACCTGCTGGCAAAGCTCGAAGTCTACACGTTTGGAAACGCCGCCAACCACTTCAACAACCCGCATCGAAACATTCAGTCCCAACACAACGCCATCAGCAACCCTCTGGCGGCATCCACCGACTCCACCAACACGACAGCGGGAAGTGGGAACACCGAGCAAGCCCAGGCAACCCTGTCCGACAACCAACCTCTGACCGAAACATCCCCACAGCAGCGGAGGACCACAACCACGGGTACCACTCCCGCGGCTACTGCAACCACGGCCGCAACAGACACTCGCACAACCGAGGGCGAACAGGTAGAACCCAGCATCCCCTCCCTCACCTCCGAAACCAGCGCCATCACCCCCTCAGCCGTCTCCGGCCGCGCCATCGGCCACATCGAGCACTACGCGCACACGACCGACTTCGTCGCTCTCTGGGGGATCCTGCACTTCGCCACCTCCATCCCGGGGCAACGCACCATGCCGCGCTTCATCGGCCGCGTCTTCGCCCGCACCACCGTCCGCGGCGGCCACCAGCTGTGCCAGCATTACCTGGATGGCATGTTCCCTCTCGAAAAAGACGCGAAGACGGGCGCCTTTTTGGGATGCGCGGAGACGGGGAACGAGTTCATGGAGAGCGAGATCACGGTTGGCGAGGCGGGGAGCGAGATGACGGCTGCTAAGGAGGCGATGGAGATTAGTTGGCTTGCTAATGGGATTGCGAACGGCATCGTTAGCGGCGGCGGTGAGGGGAATGGTGATGAGGCCGCCGTGGGAGGGATTGCGGTCTACGGTGGTCATAGTCCGGTGGAACGAAGAGGGCGGGTGAGGACGAGGCGCGAGAGCATGCCGGCTAAGGTGAAGGTGAAGGATCTGAGTAGGTTGTGGCAGTATCGGAATGGGAGGAGCCCGAATGATAAGCCGCCGATGAGGACTGCGACGGTTTAGGTCGCTGTGGTGAAAGCATCTTGGGCCGTGCCCCAGCAGTGGTTGTCAAGTGGAAGACCGTGCTGGGTGGCAGGGGCAGTAGAGGGAAGGAAGTGACGGACCAAGTGAAGGCGGAAGGAGCGAGCCCCACCAAGTTCCGACACACCGGCACAGGCCGCATCTTCCGGCGGCAGGACCTTCACTGTTTTGGGACCATATAAGCCCCAAGTTCAGACCTTCCAACAACCCCCAGTAGCCGACGTGGTAGGTGTGCTGGTAACCAGAAAATACGTGGTGTTTTCGTAGGTAGGCAGCTGGTCTCGAGTTCAACTCCAGGCTTGGGCCGCTGAGCTTTTTGCTTTTTCCTTTGGTTCTTTCTAAGTCGGCTTTCGTTTTCTCTACTTTGAGCACCGTTTATCGCTATCATCTTTTTGCTCCAGACGCCTATTCAACGGAGCAACGGTGGTGGAATCGTTCTATATGGTGACGGTTGGCGACTTGGCCGGGGGTCAAAAGATGTGGGGGAGGTGTAAGTTTCTGTTAATTCATAAACTTTTTCCGCTGATGTTGTAAAGTTCTTGGTGATGATCTTCAGCACTGCCCTGATAATGGCGTATACCAGGGTTAGGGTCTAGCCTAACACAGCCCCTGGGGGCAGTCATGCTAACTGAGCCCCACCACTGCCTCCCTTTGGGCATTTAGCTCGGTTTTCTCAATTTCACCACCCAATCAGATGAAGCAATAATTCATCTTGGCATCTTAAACACACCCAAGCTCCAAGGTGCTTCGCTGTGATAAGATAACGAAACTTTTTATTTGGATTCTAGTAACTTCATCCAGCAACCATCATCGCCTCGCCCACCCACGGTTCACCTCACGCCTCTTTGCACCACTCTACACCACCGATCGACCGAGCAATCGAGCGACCGGCAACATGGGCAAGAACAGAAAGTCGAAACGCCAATTGGTGCGCGACGAGAAGCGCGCCAAGAAGAGAGATAGAGAAATCGAACACGAAGAAGAGAGAGACATCAAGAAGCAACGCCGCGAGGAAGCCCAGAAAGAGGCCCTCGCTCCCGCCGCCGCCGAATATGTTCCTCCTCCCCTAGACGGTACCTACGACGAGAATGCGTTTCCCGGGGCTCCCGAGGGCCGTCGCGGCCCCAACACCAACTTCGAGCGCGAGTTCTTCGGCATGCTCGAGGAACAGGAGCAGGAGTACTTCCGCCACGCCGACGAACTGCTCGAACTGAACGACTTCCCCTCAACCGAGGAGCGCGACATCTTTCTGCAGAACGTTTACAAGGAGATGCGCGGCAAGGAACTCAAGCTGGCCAGCAGTCAGTCTTGCTCGCGCCTTATGGAACGCCTGATCCTGCTGTCAAACACCCGTCAGAAGAAGAGCTTGTTCGACGCGTTCGGCGGCCATTTCATCTCGCTCGTCACCCATCGTTTTGCCAGTCATTGTTGCGAAAAGCTTTTCTTGCAATCGGCGCCTGTCGTCACCCAGGAGCTGAGCGGCGAGTACGAGCAGGAGCCCCTGCCGGAGGGCGAGGAGGAGACGGAGGCCATGAAGTCGTCAATGGAGGATCTCTTCCTGCTGACGCTGGACGAGTTGGAGGAACATCTAGGATTTTTGCTCAGCGATAGGTTCGGCTCGCACGCTATGCGCGCGCTGCTGGTTATCCTGTCCGGAAGGTCGCTGGATCAGGCCGGCACAAAGAGTCTGTTGCAGAGCAGGAAGAAGGAGTACATCACGGTGGAGGGCGCGGCGGCAAATGCGAGCGAGTTGAGCTCCCAAATTAGAGCGGTTCCGTCGTCCTTTACGATGGCGATCAAGAAGATCATCGATGACTCCACAGCGACAATGGATGCTACTGCATTGAGGGTGCTGGCGAAGCATCCTACCGGTAACCCGGCGCTGCAATTGCTGTTGGAGTTGGAGTTGACAATGTTTGTAAAGGGCAAGGAGAAGGGAGACAAGAAGCAGAAGAAGAAAGATGATGAGGCGGAGGAAAAGAAGGAGGAGACACAGTCCGAAGTTACGCTCTTGGGCATGCTTGTCCCCGACGCGCCCGCCGCATTCGCCGATAACACCACCCAAGCCGCCGAGTTCGTCAACTCCATGATCTACGACCCGATCGGTTCGCGACTTCTCGAGACACTCATCACCCACTGCCCCGGTAAGATTTTCAAGGGTCTCCAGCAACACATCTTTGGTCCTCGTATCCAGAGTCTGCTTCGCAACGATATCGCCTGCTACCCCGCCATCAGGGTTCTCAACCGTCTGAGCAGAGAAGATCTTGCCGACGCCGTTGAGAAGTCCTTGCCTGAGATGGCAAGCTTCGTCGACAAGGGACGCTTCAACGTTATCAAGACCCTTTTCGAGCGCTGCAACGTCCGTAATGGCACTGATGAGATCAACTCCCTTCTTAAGGCTCTTACATCTGCTTACGGTAACGACTGGAAGAATCTCGTGCCCAAGCTTTGCATGCTCGACGAGGAGGTCAGCGAGGAGGAGCAAAAGCCAGAGTCGACCGAGGAAGTAGGAGAGGAAGGAGCGGAGGGAAAGAAGGAGGAAAAGAAAGAGAAGACGCAGCCCAAGTTCCAGACCCAAGAAGCCAAGAACAAGGCCTTCATGCTCAACCACGGCTCCCAACTCGTCGCCGCCTTGCTAGCCATTCCCGGCCAACCTTCAAAGGCCATTCAATCGTCACTTGCTGCCCTTAAGCCGGCACAGGTCATGAAGATGGCCACTACCTCGCACAACACCTCCTCGATCCTCGTCAAGGCTCTTCAGACACCCGCCACAACCCCGACCTTCCACAAGGTCCTCGTGTCGTCCCTTCTTCCGCACGTATACGAGCTCGCCACCTCGCAGCGCGGTTCTGCCGTCCTCAACGAAATCATCACTCTGCCATCCAAGCCGGCCGAGCCCAACGCGCCTGCGGTCCCCTTCCACATGAAGGAGAACATCATCTCGCAGCTTGCGCAATACGAGCGGGATCTCAGAGAGACGTGGTTGGGACGCAACGTCTGGCGGACGTGGAAGGGCGACATGTGGAGCCACAGACGCCATGACTGGGTCAGGTGGGCGAAGGAGACGGATCCGGAGACAGCGAGAGTAGCGGCGGCACCCAAGAAGAGGGAGGAGAAGGAAAAGGAGGAGGCTGAGAAGAAGCCGAAGGGATATCTGGGGAAGAACTTTGATCCCAAGAAGGCCAAGGGGTTTGCAGGGAAGAAGTTTGAAAAGAAGGAGGTGGCGGCATGAAGGAGGAGTGAACGAACGGGGGGGGGCGCTTGGTAAGAGGATCCCTTGTGAATGAAGAGGATGTTGAGAGTCGATTGATATGATACCCTATGGGATGATTAGAGAATGGTTTTAAAAGATTGTTGTGTACAATTTAGTCTACTTTCACTTTTCCCACACCCATCTTCGCAGAGATGGAAGCGGCGTTGGCTAACTAGAGTTGAGTTACATAAGTCAAATAGCGATCAGGTTAAGATAAGATTTATATATATCCAAAAACGAAAAGCAGGTCTATAATGCAGAGGGTATCCTACAGCGCCAGGCCAAAGACATCTAACTAAGCCACCGTGACCATCAAGATTGCGAACCCAGAGCCTGCTGCTGCCGCTCCCTAGCCTTGAGTCCCGCTCCAACAACAGTCGGATCATGCGGGCCCTCAAACTCGTCACAAGTACACTGCAGACCATGACCCGTGAAATAATCATCCCCATAATAAATACAAAGCTGGTCGCCCGACTTCAACGTCTTGTTCGCAAAGAAGGCAATCACCCTGACCTTGCCAATCTGCATGATCGCCTCGCCCACATTCGGATCGCAGCTCGAGTTCATGAACCTTGTCCAGTTCCCCATCTTGCCCGCGTCAACAATCGGCCTGTCGGTATCCCACTCCAGCCCGACCTGCGGCTCATAAAGGTACATATTGTTCTTGCTCGGCCCAGGCACGATCTCGCCGACGTAATGACCCAGGTACGACCCCTTGGGGATCTCATACCGCCCGTTCGTCTTGACGAACACGCCGTACCCCTTGTCGGCCGTGCCGGTGTGCCGGATCTCGAGCCACTTCTTGAAGAAAGTCTTCATCCCGGTGGTGCCACCACCGCTATGAATCTCATCATAACACTGCACGCCGCAGGCGGGATCATCCGGGTTCCGCCCGCACTCGAAGCAGGTGTAGCAGTATTTGACGCCCAAAGCGTCGACGGGCTCGGCGAGCGCCGCGCGCGCGCGGTCCGTGATGCACGCGGACTCGTTCTCGGCTTCGGTTTTGGGGAGCGTGGGGAGACGCGGGCGCTGCGGACGGCCGGCGGCGTTCCACCGACGCGGGTCGGCGTAGAAGGAGTCGATTTGCTTGCAGGTTGCGCCGGGGATGGTCTCGCGGGCGGTGCGGTCGAAGTTCCAGGCTTCGAAGGGGGTCCATTTGGGGCCGTGGCCGAGACGGCCGCCCTTGGTGACCCTGTTGGTTGCGTTGGCCTTCTTTGGTGGCATTTTGGTCTTTTTTTCTTTCTTCTTTTTGTGTTTTCTGCTTCTAGGGAAAGTAGGTACTACTGAAAGGGGGTTTGCGATCTTGATATTGTTATTGGTGATGACGTCTGTTTCTTGTTTTCTTCCCTGGGTTGTGGCTGGTTGAACTGAACTGTGAACAGAGCAGCTGACATCGTGATGCTGAACAGCCCGTCCCGATCTTATAGTTTTTTTTTCTTCAAGCCTGTTCTTCTCGACTCTGTGGCTCTGTTCATCAAAGAAGCCCGAGTCCTCATGATCGCGGTTCATTGTTCTATATTTGTGACTCGTGAAAGGGCTTTTGAGCACGAAGGATAAGCCCATCCGGAACTCGGACAATGATTTTGGCAAGCCTTCTCTCTTTGTGTGAGACCGAATGTGGAGGCTTTCCATTGACGACATTCGGGTCACGGAGGACCATATACAAGTGCATTGTCGAAGACAATAAACCACTTCGAATCTCAACAAAAGCTATCAGCACGACAAAGACCACAACCGAGTGCCTTTATGATAGACGGCGTGCCCCCCTTTTCTCATCGACCTTGGAAACCGCTCTTTCACACGCTGAAAGTCCTCACTACGGCAACAACACAACACACCCAAGCCCCCATATCAGTCGTCAACCCACGGATAGCATTAACCCTCAGCCACCTCCTCAGCTCTCCCACCGATGTCTCTTTACTCTCATCCTCAACAATAGCCTGAATCTTCGGCGCCACAGCCGGAACAAAAAGAAGATGTCCCGCCGCAAGCGCGGCTCCGGCCGCGTACCAGTAGTACGAACCCCGTTGCTTGAGTAGTAAGGGGCTTTGTACGCGGAGGTTGAGTGTCGATGTCACCATGGTGACCGAGAGAAAAGCCAGGACGCTCGGTAATCCGGCCCGGAAGAAGGCGTGGAACCATTTAGGTAGATATTGGTTGCTGTCGCGCTCGAGCTCGGGAAGGGCGAAGATGCGCAGCATCCAGTGCTGGTCTCAGGCTAGAGTTAGAGATGCGGTGCTGCTAATGACGGGGGCGAGACGGAGGAGAGTGAGGGGGTCGAAGAAGACGCTGGACGCCATTTTGATATGGGGTGTTGGCGGTGGGTTTGGGTGAATGTTGTGGTGAGCTTCGCTCTTGGTGAGACTGAACCTGGAATGACAGGAAAGTTGTGAAGCAAGACCGAAAGGAGCCTGAAAGTAAGGTCGTGACTAAGTGAGGAGAACAAGAGGAGATAGGAGTGATGAAGCCATCTAAGCCGTGGTAAGCGGGGATGATCTTCTCTACCCCATGTAATGGCTGACCAACAACCTTCAAGTCCATGTTCTCGGAAACATGTCGAATGATTTAAGTGGGTCGAGGGTAAGACGAGGTCATCGTATTGCTTCGGCGCACTCCTCTGGGCATCCGACCTATTTTCCGTCCTCATTCTCATCCCACTGCCACTGAGATGCGATCTTCGCAACGTCCCGACACGGGGCACAGAAGATTTCCGGATCATTCGCAATACGCTTGAGCACATCCTCAAAAACCTCAAGCTTCTCCTCGCTAGTTTGCAAGAACGGATGAAATAGAATCGACAGGAAGCCCTCATCTTCCAACGCAAGATCAATCTTGTTCATCAAGTGTTCCTTGAACTGGGCTGGCGACATGACCGCCCTCTGCTCTCGATAGGCCGATCTTTTATCAGCGAACTTCTCCATATAGTAGAAGGCGTCTACCTCCGGCCACTCCAAGGGCAGTACGGTAATACCATTCAGGTGATCGAGCCACCTAAATTCCAAGTCTACTGGTGAGATATACTCCAAACCGCTCTCCTTTATCAGATCCCATGAAGTACGCTTTCCCAGCTCTCCTCCAGGCGGTCGGAACCCGACGTACTTGATCCCTAGCGGCTCGGCCATCTCGAAGCTCTTGTCGAGTTTATCGCGCACCTCTTCAAGAGGAAGGGAAGCCCACGGCTCATGTTGGTAGCCGTGCCATGCAACCTCGTGACCACGAGCGATGATGTCCTTGACGACGTCGGGATAGACGGCGAGGCTCCAAGACTCGATAAAGTAGGTGATTTTGATGTTGTATTTGTCGAGCAGGTCGAGCATCCGTGGTAGCTGGTCGGTAATGGATGGATGAGTGCCAATGGGTTTGTCCCAGGTTTCTTTGTAGACGTCTTGCGCTTCGCCGAGGTTGTCCATGGTGAGGCAGATGGCTGCTTTGCGGGGACCGCGCCATTGCCCGAACCGATCCATGGGGGATGGAGGTCTTGGGTCTGGAGTAGTGGAATTAATCCTCATGTTTTTGCAAAGAACCCTCCTCATGTTTGTGGAAGACCAAGGTCCTTCGTCGGTGTTGTCCTGGTAAGAAGGGAGCCCGCTGCTTTGCCCCGCTCTCGGCAGTTCCTAGGCCGGTGGCCCGCAGCACTTTGTACAATCTCACCATACCACCCACCCACTCCGCAGTTACATACAGTACATCACACTTTTATCATCAATTGGCACATTTGCACTCGAGTTCGTTAGGAAAGTATTCATTGTATTATCACTACCTCTACCTATTCGCGACTCCTGATATGGAAGTGAACCCTTCAAAGGGTGGTTCCAGGTACTTACCCGCAGAAAAATTGAAACTCAAAAACGAGATACCAGAAATCGCGGATCGAAAACACATATGACAAGGCAAAACATAGACTTTGAGGAAAAGAGGTAGAAAGATTGGAGGTACACCTATCAATAGGCATTGTACTCCTCCCTCTGCTCCTCCGCCAAATCCTTTGCCGCTCGCCATCTCTCCTTTCCCTCCTTGATCAAATGATCAAAGTATCCCTTCTCCCTGGCCTGATCGAATGACTTACCAGCATCCTTAATGGTAACTTCAACAATTCGCTTCGGCCTCCACGCGTACCTCTTCACCGCCGACGGCATCACCACTCTCGGATCAAAGTCCTTTTCGAGATGCGGTACCAGACCAGGGTATTTGTCAATAACCTGACGGATCGAGGGCTCCAACAGCGACCTGACCGAGAACATGACGATACGTGCCCAAACAATCGCGTCCTCGCCGTCCAGCGACTTGACGGATCCCGACAAACCGTGCGGGTTCTTACCCACTAGTTCCTGCCACTTGAGCGCCTTGCACTTGCCCGTCCGGCACTGCATGCTCGCGAGCAGTTCAGCAGTCCACTCGGCGAATTCATCAAACTTTCGGTTGTGGAACAAGTCCAGGACTGTATAGGTGCCGCTGCAGAGGAAGATCAGCTTGCTGACCAAACTGCCCAGCTCCTTTTTTCCCATGTCCTCCAGCTCATCAGTTGAGTATCCCGGGCCCTTTTTGACAACAAGATAGTTCACCAAAAAGGCGCCCCATCCTTTGATCACCTTATGCCATTCTTCGGGCTTGCCTAGGGCGGTCAGGTAATCGGCGGCTTCGGGCTTGGGCACCCTGCTTTCGGATTTGTCCAGGCCAAAGTTGCTGGAGGAGGTTAGTCCTTCGTCTTGGAGCACTTTGAAGAGGGGGATGAGGCCCAGCTTGTTGCACAGAGAAGGGTCGCTGGCCCCGTGGACGATCTTAAAAAGAATTTCCGATCGGCAGTCGTGGCAGATGTAGGTGGAGCGGGGACAGGTGTCGCGGAAGTGGCGGAGGATGAGGGAGAAGGTGGGGACGTTGTAGATGGAGTGGAAGAGGTTGAAGCTGTCTTCGGTGTTTATGGTGGGCATGGTGGGCGATGGTTGGGTCGGTAGGACGTTACCTTTGAAGAGTTATTTGGGTTGTCGTTTGCTGGTGATGATTTGATAACGGGTTGCTGGCTGAATGAATGGAAGTCTGGCTCAGGGGTTCCGGACCGGGGTATTTGTATCCATCTTGTCTCTTGAAACTTCAAATCTCAAGTATAAACAATCCTGTTGTTCATGTCTTCTTGTTTGGCTTTTACGTCCATTGTTCTCTTGGTAAAGTGCCGAGGACATGAACAAGGGAGGTAAAGAGAAACTGCGTAAGGCTTGGGGGGGGTTTTTTTTATCTCTTTTTTTTTCCGGCACGGCATTGATAGTGTTTTTCTTTGTTCTTTAAAGCATACTCGACATAACATGTTCAAGTTCACAAGAGCTGTTCATAAGAGCATGGCTGTGACTGGGTGTCTTCCCAATGACCCTGGAGGGGAACTGATGTTTGACTTCTACTTTGACATACCTTGGGACCACAATAATCGCGAACATATAGCTATAGCCTGGGGGGGCAGTGTTAATTACCGGTTCTTGACTTTAAAGGAAGCGGCACGTCATTCTTTTCCCTCCCCTAGGTAGTCATCTTATTTCACTTCAGGTGCACTCGGTAGACACTCGATCATATCTTCTCATTAAGAGAAACGATCAATGCAGTCTGTTCCTAACTCCGTTTTATGATAGTGCAGCAAGAGAACCCTTTGTTGAGCACATGGTTTAATCTGTTATTGAAGACCAAAGTGTCGACACAACGTCTCGGGGGTCGACTGAAGCCATTGTCAACCACCGTGACGATGGTTGTCTCCAATTATAAGGCTCAGGCTTTGGCCAAACTACCAACCAATTGAAACCAGCGCCAGTGGTTTAGTGGTAAAATCCATCGTTGCCATCGATGGGCCCCGCGTTCGATTCGCGGCTGGCGCATTTCTTTTTCCATTTTTTTGGTCATCTGCTGGCCTTTGTTCGTCCCGATTCTTCTTTTGTTTTTGTTTTTTTTCCGGGTTTTTTTGGAGATACCCGCCAACATCTTTGCAGTGTTTTTTTGCAGTGCTTCCTTCAACTTTGAAGTGGTCCTTCCTGAAATCTGAATGGGCTTGGAGCGAATGCAATCTCGTTGCGCATCAACCAGTCAGACAGTTTTGCATAGGCCATTCGTTGTTTGTACTTGTGCTGCAAAGCCACCACCAAATGAGAGAACCAAATCGAGAATTTGGAATCCCTCTTGGTGACCAACCATGTTTTCCCATTGGATTCATGGTCCTCTTTCACATGTTGCATTCCAAATATGACGTTGACAAAAAGGCCGTTCATCTTACTCGGGCCTCCGAGTCATCCACTCACTCGCCAATGCCCCTGATGCCCGACAGACGGAGGTAGGTGACAGACATACATTACCTTAACCCCCCAATGCTGTGCCCATTTGTTGCTGGAACGGCAGGCGCGACAATGTCTCAAAAGTTCAGCTCTGTCCCATCCGGCCTACCGCCGGGGGATTAATGCTGCATTTAGTCCACAAATTGTACAGTACTCATCTGTTATTAACCTCAACCTGGAAATGCAAATGCCGTTGCGAAACTATCCAAATGCTTTTGTTTGAGTGAGTTGTGTAACCAAAGCGCGGATTGCAGCCAATCTTGTGATAGTGAGACAAGCACGACAAGCCAAACGATGCAGTGAATATCCTTGCAAGCCAAACGGGCGTATTTTTTTTTTCAGGGACATCGCTTAAACGCCTTGCCAGGCACAAATGGCTTGCTACTGGTTGGGCCAAGTTGTTGGGTATGAGAGTGTGAAGAGACCTGGGAGAACGGGAAGAAAGTCAGGTAACCCATGGAGAGGACCTATCATCATCATGTCGGAATGCTCTTGGGCAGCTTGGGCTGGGAGAGATCGTTGTCTGCATGCTTGTTACCGTATACCCTGGGCTGAGCGGGCATGGCGGGTGGGTTTGGAGGAACAGGGGGCGAGAACAACAAGCAGATTTCGGACGCCTATTCGGGTAACAAACCCATTGGGAGGATTTGGAATGATATCATGGCTGTGCTCTGGTTTGTCTGCGCTTTTTGATATTGTTCTCTTTCCTCTTTCTTCCTTAATCCAAAGGTCAAGAAGGAAGGTGAAGAATCGTGTTCATTGCTGCTAAAGTCATGGACAGAACAGACGATAAGGACAGGTTACAGCAGTAGTGACCGGCCGGATCCAAGGAGTTGTTGGAGAAGCTGTGTCACACACACATCAACTGTCAACAGGGGGTTTCATATGTTCGTTCTTGTGTCGCCTTTGAAGATTTGTTGCCGATCCCGCAGCTGTCATGAGCAGCAAATGCTGTCGTGGTCGCCTGTAGCAATTTGCTGTTGTGCATAACGGGGTTTGCCTAGTCCAAACGTCATGCTTGTGTGATCATATTGCACTCGGTAAGGTTACCCGATATGTACGTGCTCCAGGCTGCTGGATCCGAACGGTGCGATGCACCACGTTTATGAGGAGATTATGGGGGTGTGATTTGAAGGAGGGTAAAACCGTGACAAAAAGAAAGGAAAAACGCTGATACAGGGGACGAGGTGGGAGGAAGCAACACACAAAGATACTGAAGGAGGCTGGAATAAGGAAAATGGGAACAGCACCGTCGTAAACTGCAACCTTTTTGTTGCCGGCTTAGCCAGGAACGGGCCCCCCCAAGTGACGCACAGAGCTCAAGCCAGGCTGTTTCGAACATGGACGATGCAACGCACTGCAGGAACATCGTCGTGTGATGAGACTTCTCCGCAGATGGTGAGCAAAAATGATGCCATCTTCATCTTTTAGCCAAATATACTAGTTGGTAGGAAAGAGCCTCCAACGACGGAGATGCATAACACCCGCCGGAGACTTGGCTGTATGACTGTGGTCTATGACAATTTTAGATTGCGGCTCCTTTCCCCAGACAAAGAGGAGCTGGGTATCCGAGTATCAGGAACTGCACGACAAATCAGGCAAAACTTGTTAGACATATACTTCGGATAATCGGAATGAGACTTTGGGTCCCCCCCCTTGGTCGTGATGGAGAATGATGTCGATCTGGCGGACATGAAAACAAGGAAATGCCAGTGATGGTCTTATTACCTGAGCTTGGCTCGATCTGTCCACTGTCCCCTTTCGCAAGCATGTTTGATATCAGCGAATTGAACAGGATGGATTCGGATGGATTCGAAGAGGACGACTGCCCTCTGGTAGGACTGTATGTACAGGAAACAGTTCCTGAGAGTGGACACTGTACCGGGCCTGCGGGCACACATCGACATCGGCGGCCACAGGGCAACCGTGGGCAGTGGGCACTTGCCCTGGCGGGATGCAGGTTGGAGTTGTGAATGGCCTGTGTGTTCGGCCGTCCCAATCAACGGCCCCACTCTCTCGTGTTACCCCTGGCCTTAGCGCATGGAGGGTGCCTCTGACCAATGAGCAGTCGAGTTCCCCTGTCTCCCTTTGAGGCCATCCCCAGCACACACACCCCTAGCACACCCCCCCACTGCGACCCGACGTCCATCTCTCACATGGCCTGAAAGTTGCCCCTCCCTGCAATGGGGGACCCGAAACACCAAGGCGATTTTCTTTCTTGAGAACCGAAGTTGAGAATAGGGTTGCTTTGACGAATGCGACAACCTCCTTTCTTTGTCTTGAGTCCTATGGGTGGGTGCAGTTGGCCTCCAATTCGCTCGTCAAGTTGAATCAATGCCCCGTTGTGGTTGTTAACACGCTTCTTTATACCTCCTCAGCAGCGACCATTTCGAGTCGGCGTCCAGTGGCGATGGAACTGCGCACGGGGGTGCCTTTGAGCCAAGTGTTTCTGGTTCCTGATTTTGAAGCCGGTAAAGGCGAATCTGCAACAGACATCCCCGTCACCTGCCCTGCTTCATCCCGCCTCCGTCTCATTGTTCAGGGACATGGAGGTAGGAGCCCGTCGCCAATTGCAATATCAGAATATGTGGTGAACCCCCCTTGGAGTTAGAAACTGGAGGTGTTGGGCGATAAGGCAGTGAACCCTTTTGAACCCTTCTCACTTTTGGATCCTTTCCTTTTCCAGTCTCCTGCTCCACCATTGACTGCATCCCATGCCTTTTGGTCCCGTCTTTATCGACAACTGCACTTGTTCTTTTGAGACGGACCGCACATTCTCTTTCGGTATTGGATTTTTCTAGCGTGCTTGTTTCGGCACTCAGCTCGAGACACAGGACATCATACCCGACGCTCTCACTTCCACCTCAACCACCTGTCCCAATTGTCGCTCCTTTGAAACCAAAGTATCTTGACGGATTTACCAGAGGTTCCTCTCTCCGGCTTTATCCTCCACTGTGTGGTGACGCGGTAATTTACCTCCACAGCTACACTACGGACGCAGGCGCCCCCGAGCAGAAGCCAAACCCAAAACATCGCCCAGGTCCCTGGCTAGACTCCACAAGACTATACCGTATATTGTTGTATTGAGCACTGCACCCACTGCAGCTGCGGTTTTTCGCTCCAAGTTCCCACCCACGCGTTTCTTCCCCCTCTTTTCCCTCTCCACAGTTTCACCTTCAACTCAACCTCCTCTTGGTCTCCTCAGACCGATCGAGGCGGTCTCTCTTTCTACCTCTACTAGCGAAAGTCAAGTCGAGCGCGGCTTGACCACAATCGCATCGCATCGCATCTTCCGCGCCCCATCACATTTGTTACGAAATCTGCCAAATTTCCTGCTGCATTCTTGTGCATTCGTGCTGCATCCCCCAGCGCGCAGTGCACGTCAAAGCAGGTCTCGCCCCCAACAAAGGCCCAACCGGAAGTTTTGCGCTGGGTCCCTCCCGCAATTCCAAGAGGAACCCGTCCCATCGCACCAAGGGAAACCCATCGGCCTACCAACGACCCAGGCCCCTAGCATCTGTCTAAGGTAGCACCTATAGACACCAACAACACCCACCGTTTCGAACCGATCCGTCTCTTTATCCAAATCACAGCAACAACCACGTCGACGCCCGCTTCCATCATTCTGCTCGAGTCGCATCGTTGCAATCACGACCGCGCGTCCAGCTACAAGCCGACCGCCTCTCGCCATCCCCCCGAGCCTCCCCCCGCCCCCCAGCGACTGTGAGGCCCAATTGCTCTCGAAACTTTGTCGACATCGATCCGTCGCGACAATCGCCTGCCCCCATCCGCTGCGTCGGCTACTTCGACATTACTCCCGAGAGGGAAATATTGTGGCGCTCGCTGGACGACCATCGCTTTCGCTCCCTGCCGAAACCGTCTTCGTGCGACCTTTGTGGACGTCGACCGTCGCTCCTTTCGCAATCTCTTGGCACCCTAATCTCCATCAGCGTGTCCCAGCGGGACCACGCTTAACGTTGAATCGACCTCAGTCGCGCGACCGATCAATCCTAAATACATAATAGAACAACACTCATTCTGCCGTCGTTGCCACTACCCGGCAATCGTTTCCATCGGGCCACGCGTCTGACCCTCTCGACACTTCATCGTCGCCCGCCAGATTTGCCAGAATGTCTGTTATGTTGCAGACACCTTCTCGAGCTTCTACCGGATCCACCTCTTCCTTCCAACCTCTCTCCCGACAAAACACCATGTCTTCCTACGAGGGCTCGCGGTCCGCCCGCCAGTCCAAGCGGTATTCCATGTCGGCGTTGTACATGTCAATGTCCGCCAATGAGTCCGATCTCATAATCGAAGACGAGCTTGCTAGAGGTTGGCAGTCCATGTGCACCCACTCGGTCCAAGATGCATACTAACTCCCTGGTCACAGCGCAAAAGGTATTGCGGGATCTCAAGACCAAGATCTCTTCGCAATCAAAAAAGAACTTCGTACTTGAGAAAGATGTCCGCTACTTGGACTCGCGTATTGCCCTGCTGATCCAAAATCGCATGGCTCTAGAAGAGGTAGGCCTGCCTGAGCAATTGCTTTCCGTACACAGCATACTGATCCGCGTTACAGCAAAACGAAGTCGCTAGTCACCTCGAAGACGCAACCGATATACAAGAGGGCGCCTTCCCCAACGATGACAAAACACAGAAATACGGAAATTTGCTCTTCCTACTGCAATCAGAGCCCAGGCATATTGCGCATCTGTGTAGGCTTGTCACCATGGCCGAGATTGATTCACTGCTTCAGACGGTTATGTTCACCATCTACGGAAATCAATACGAGAGCCGTGAAGAGCATCTGCTCTTGACCATGTTTCAGGTTAGCTTGTTATCCTCCTTGTGTCGCTACCTAGGAAATTTGCTAACTATGCCGTAGTCTGTCCTGACCTACCAATTCGACAATACGCCCGAATACTCTTCGCTTCTTCGCGCCAACACCCCGGTCTCGAGAATGATGACGACATACACAAGGAGAGGCCCAGGCCAGAGCTTTTTGAAATCGGTTTTGGCTGATAGGATCAACAGCCTGATTGAGCTCAAGGATCTGGACCTCGAAATCAACCCGCTCAAGGTCTACGAGCGCATGATTGAAGAGGCCGAAGCGAAAGACCCTGAGAGCCCCGAGGCGATGCTCCCCAAGGGAATCACGCAGGAAGAGGCTGCTGAGAATCCCAAGGTTCAGGAGATCATCAACCCGCGGCTAACGATGCTGACAGAGCTTGCCAATGGCTTTCTGGACACCATCATTGAGGGCCTCGAAGAAACCCCCTACGGAATTCGGTGGATTTGCAAGCAGATTCGGAGCTTGACAAAGAGGAAATATCCCGATGCAAATGATCAGATCATTTGCACGCTCATTGGCAGTTTCTTCTTCCTGCGCTTCATCAACCCGGCAATTGTCACGCCCAAGTCGTATATGCTCATTGACGGCATCCCTGCGGACAAACCGAGAAAGACACTTACCTACATCGCCAAAATGCTCCAGAACCTGGCCAACAAGCCTTCATACGCCAAGGAACCGTACATGGCGAAGCTACAACCTTTTATCCATGCAAACAAGGACAAGGTCAACCGATTTATGCTCGAACTGTGCGAGGTGCAAGATTTCTACGAGACACTTGAGATGGACAACTACGTCGCCCTTTCCAAGAAGGATTTGCAGCTGGACATTACGCTCAACGAAATCTACGCTATGCACGGATTGCTCGAAAAGCATGCTGGTGAGCTGTACAAGGATGAGAACTCGCATCTGGCCATCATCATGTCAGAGTTGGGTACTGCTCCACCTCAGGTGCCGCGAAAGGAAAACAGGGTCGTCAATTTGCCGCTATTCAGTAGGTGGGAAACGGCTATTGATGACCTGACCGCCGCCCTGGACATCACCCAAGAAGAGGTCTTCTTTATGGAAGCGAAGTCGATCTTCGTGCAGATTCTACGAACAATCCCTGCCAATTCGTCAGTAGCCAGGAGGCCACTGCGGCTTGAACGCATCGCAGACGCGGCTGCCACGTCCAAGAACGATGCGGTTATGGTCCGTAAAGGTATCCGGGCGATGGAGCTGCTAAGTCAGCTGCAGGAACTCAAGGTTGTCGACAAGAGCGACCAATTCTCCTTGCTACGAGATGAGGTTGAGCAGGAACTTCAACATCTCGGCTCTCTCAAAGAAGTTGTTATGACCGAGACTATCAAGCTCGAGGAGGTTTACAAGACCATCCGTGACCATAACGCTTACTTGGTCAGTCAGTTGGACACTTACAAGAGCTATCTTCATAACGTACGAAGCCAGAGCGAGGGCAAGACCAGAAAGCAACAGAAGCAACAGGTGCTAGGCCCGTACAAGTTTACCCACCAACAGCTCGAAAAGGAGGGCGTCATCCAAAAGAGCAATGTCCCGGACAATAGGAGGGCCAACATCTATTTCAATTTCACAAGTCCACTTCCGGGAACGTTTGTCATCTCGCTGCACTACAAGGGTGAGTCCGAGTCTCCGCAGCTGCCATCAATGATGAACATCACTGACAGTTCTGTAGGTCGGAACCGAGGACTGCTCGAATTGGACCTCAAGCTCGACGATCTCCTTGAAATGCAGAAGGACAATCAGGACGAGTTGGACCTCGAATACGTGCAGTTCAACGTCCCCAAGGTCCTCGCGCTGCTCAATAAGCGCTTCGCCCGGAAGAAGGGATGGTAGACACATCACTCAGTCTGGCTTTACTTTCCGTTGCGAGGTGAGGGATGATATCCCCATGAGGTGATATCCCTCACCTGGAGTTGGTGGAGTTTTTTCTTGGCGGTCTCTTCATCTGACTCTTGATACCACTTTCGTTTTGCGGTTCCCAGTACTCCAAGTCATTCCCAACACCCATTTACCTACAAAACTGACCAGGCCGGATGAAAGGGAGCAAGGGGGTGTCGGGCCAGTCAAGGGCTCTCCGTCCAATGGTCGGAGTACTGTCCGGACCAATCCCGCCTTGACTTCACCCGGCTTTCATCCCATCGGTCATCCTAACATGTCTGAATCATGGTCGTTTCTAGTTGCGTTTATATATGCACATAGTTAGCGAGCTCTCGTTCCATCTCCTTGTTATGTTTGGTCGTTTTGGTTATACCTCCCGTCGTTTTACAAATGGTCTCTTTTATCTCGTTTTTGCCGTCAATCACGCCGCTCTCGCTTCCAATGTAGGATCCACTTGGGTGTTTCCCTCATGTACCTAATCATCTCTCGTATGTCTCTCTGGCTTTTGCTATTCCTGTTTTTCTCGGTATGGATTTTTCCTCTCTCACCGCGCAACTGGAGGGGGACTCGGTGGACGGACGAATTGGACGGACGAACGAACGAACGAACGACACCCATGAAGAGTGATTTCGGTCCCGCTCGGCTGGCCTGGCTTGGGATGGATTGAACATCATCTTTACGCACACTACATACTACTTACTACGTACTACTTAATAATCTGGAGCGAGTCGAAGGAAGGACAGGAAAGCTGTGGTCGACACACAAGCACAGTTTCAGTTTCGAGACCTGGTGTATGATGGGCAGAGTTGCCGGGAAAATGCGTTGAGAAGGGGACAAAGGAGGCATGTTTGCGAAAAGTTGAGAAAGCTCGGGAGCAAAGTAGGGGAAGAGCGGGAGGATGTGAATAACTGGCGGAGCCGGTGATCAGAAACGAAAATTCGAATGAGTTTCCTTTTTATCGACAAGCGAGGCTGCAATGATACCCACGTACGATTGGCTGCCTCACCTTACCAAAGAGGGTGGTTCTAATAAGTTCGGCGGGTCCGCAGCGCAAGGCGCACTGGGTTGGGTGACGGGTTGGCCGGTTGGCCGGTTGGCCGGTTGTGGTACTCGGCTGACCTAGGGAACAAGAGAAGGCGGCTGCGAGTGTGTTAATCTAGGGAAAAGTACTTTGCTCGACTTCCAAGTCGGCCTGCAATACGTTTCTCTCGGTTATGTCATGGTTTTCTAATCTTCTCTACTCTCGCTGTATGAATCATGTTGAATTTTTCTCTTACTTTTTTTCGGCTGCGTTGTGGATCGGGTGGTAGTCGAATTGGAAATGTAGAAGAAGGAGGATGTGTTGGGAAAGAGGAAGATGGGAAAGGAAAGGAAAGGAAAGGAAAGGAAAGGTTCAAAGAACAAGGGACATGTACTATCACGGAAGATAGGTCTTATACTGTACTTTATACCAGTTGATTCATTGGTTGGTAACGGACTGCGTGCGTCGATTAATTTCTCGTTCATGGAATCAGTTCTCATGTCCTGTTCTGTTATGTCTGCCTCTGGTCAAGTCGACAAGAGCTAGACTTGGACTTTGGGATGGAAGCGGAATTCCACGATAACCCATACACCTGCGATAAGCTTATCTACACGACGTACTCGTCAGGTCTTCAAAACCGACCGTCTGACTAGCGGGCGGGGACGGTCGGTTTTGAAGACCTGACGAGTATGTCATCTCGTCTCATGACATGGATGGATGGACGCCATCGCCCAATGTCATGCCGCCCCTGGTACACCACACCTGTTCATGTTTGATCTGGGATGATTGTGGGGGCGCCCTGGAAGCGAGACGTTGTTTGTCTGGGGTAAATTGTTACCGAGCCATTCAAACATGATATCAAATCACTTGAAAGCAGGTATGTATAGGCAGTAGACGAGGTAGCGCTCCGTGATATTATCGTGGCTTTCCTACCAGGGATCCTTCAACATCCAGAGTCTGGACCGCTCTCCGAAGCCTGAGCACACTTCTCATCCGTCATCGTATCATGGCCTGCATGGGCTCATCTAGTTCACTACTGCAGGTCTCAGCCTCAGCCCTTTTAAGTTTGGTTTAGAGGCTTCCATCATCACCCCATCAGCCGTGGTCAGTGGGGAGCGGAGAGACGGGAGCCCCGGCTACCCCGTCATCGTCGAACCCCGCCGTGCAGCGTGCTGGCCCGCTAAAAAGCGTTCGGCTGCAGCAGGCCGCAGCAGATGTGGGGACCCCGGACGTCCCCGCAACGGCCGGGTAGCCCGCTACAGTACCAAGAGAAGTTCCAGCCTGTTCATCCAAACTTTTCATCCAACATTCATCCCACGGCACACCATAAGCGCCGACACCCGATGCTTTCGATACGAGGCGATCGCGATGCCAACCTTTTTCCTTGAACATGGCAGCAAGAGGAGTGATCGACGTGCTCATCCCTGCTGCTTGACGTCTGAAGAGACTGATGGTGGTTGAAAGAGGTGATGACGAGCGTGTAGAGCAAAGAGGGGTGTTGGTTGTGTGGCTTTTTCGTCTCTTTGTCTGCCGTCTGGTGTCTCAACTCTCAAGCAGGTTCGTCCGATCGGATCGAGCTTTGTTTCCAGTGGGAAGAAACATCAGATGGATTCACGCAATGTCATGAAGCAGAAATGCGGCAGACGGCAAGACGGGCCTCGAGGAGAGCTACCTGACTAGCTCTACCCAGCTCTCCCAGCCGAGCTATTTCGTACCACGGGCACAGATGAGAAGAGCAGTGAGCAGACAGCTAGCTCCCCGCCATGAAGAGGAAGCTCCCCCTGTCTGAAGATTCCCAGACGAACCTCTGAGAAAAGGATATCCCCACACCTTGCTTAATCCGACGACGTGGTTGGTTCAACACGAGGCCGTTGGAGGATTGCTTGCAGTGTTAGCATGCGATCTGGATGCTGTTCAATGGCGGGGAACCTCGACGATCCCGTGGCTCCGTGGATGCCGCCCTGTCAAAACCAAAAAAGTCATGTCACCCCTTCCCCTTCTCAATGCGAATCAAAGAGCATGGGTGACCCACCTTCCGTCATCGTCCAACATCAGACCACCTTTTCCCCATTATCTCGACCCCAGCCATTTTAGCCATTCAAGCCGTGCTCACCTCTCCCAGATCTCCCAGTCACTGCAACAATAGCCTGTTTGGATCCTTGGCACCGGGACTGGAAGCCCTTCTCGTGCTTCCAAAATTGGTAGAACAGGTTACTTTGGATACTCCCTTCCAGCTCCTTCAGTTGCATGTCGTTGGCCAGAATCGTCGTGCCAGGGTGCCGGGTATGGGGTTCAATGATTCAATGCGATCCATTACTCCCATGAGGCCGAAAGAGCAATGATGGACAGGTGGGAAGACGGAGTTGTGCCCTTTTTGCCGTCCAATACCATGGATCCCGCATTGCCTTGGACTCTCGTGAGGAAAAAGGCAAAACCAGGTGGCCAAGGTAGGTACCAAGTATAGGCACACCACTCGTTACCGCACTACAACATGCTGTGTAATACGACGAGGGAGAAGGAGAGTGGTTGTTATAAGAGACAATGCCCTCCCGGATGGTTCCGTTCTTGGTTCTGCCCCTCCTTCGATCATTGTCATCATCATTCCAAGTGAAACCCCGGACACCAACCGAGGGTTTTTTCCTCATAACCACCGAACTACACCTGGCCACCTGGTTGGGTACCTACTTACAATACTACACAACACCACGCAACCCAGCTCCTCTTGTTCGTAGAACTCTAGCGGGACCTTGCCCAGTATGAGTGATTCGAACGAGCTCGAGGTCGAGAGCATTAGCCCCTACGGGCCAGCTCGCTCGACAATCAAGGGAGAGCCACTAACCAAGGAAGAGATCGAGAAGTACAATGACTTCTTCAAGGCCAGCTTATATCTCAGTCTGGGCATGATCTATCTCCGCGAGAACCCCCTTCTCAAGGAGCCTCTCGACACAAAACACCTCAAAGCCCGTCTCCTCGGCCACTTCGGCTCCGCACCCGGCCAAATCTTCACATGGATGCACTTCAACCGTCTGATCAAGAAGTATGATCTCGACTCCATCTTCATCTCCGGCCCTGGCCACGGTGCACCCGCCGTTCTGTCGCAGGCATACTTGGAGGGTACATACTCAGAAGTCTATCCCGAGATGTCGGAGGACGAGGAGGGCATGCAGAAATTCTTCAAGCAGTTCTCCTTCCCCGGTGGAATCGGCTCGCACGCCACTCCGGAAACACCAGGCAGCATCCACGAGGGTGGTGAGCTGGGTTACTCCATCTCTCACGCTTTTGGCGCCGTCTTCGACCATCCCAACCTGATCGCCCTAACAATGGTGGGTGATGGCGAGGCCGAGACCGGTCCCCTGGCAACATCATGGCACAGCAACAAGTTCCTCAATCCCATCACCGACGGTACCGTCCTCCCCGTCTTACACTTGAATGGTTACAAGATCAACAACCCTACGATCCTCGCCCGTATCAGCCACAAGGAGCTGGAGAACCTGTTCCGCGGCTATGGTTACGAACCATACTTTGTTGAGGGCGATGATGTCGATACTATGCACCAGGCCATGGCCGCAACACTGGAGCACTGTGTCCTGGAGATCAGGAAGTTCCAGCAAAAGGCTAGGGAGTCCGGCAAGGCTTTCAGGCCCAGGTGGCCCGTCATTATCCTTCGCAGTCCCAAGGGATGGACCGGTCCCCGCAAGATTGACGACAAGTTCCTCGAAGGATTCTGGCGTGCTCATCAGGTGCCTATCACCGATGTGCACGAAAAGCCCGAGCATCTCAAGGTTCTTGAGCAGTGGATGAAGAGCTACGAGCCAGATCGTATCTTCAAGGATGGAAAGATCAGCGAGGATCTCAAGGAACTCTGCCCGACTGGAACACGCCGGATGAGTGCCAACCCCGTCGCCAACGGTGGCACCATCAGGAAAGCACTGAGGATGCCCGACTTCCGCAAGTATGCTCTCAAGATCGACAAGCCGGCTTCGACTATGGCCGCTAGCATGGCCAATATGTCCACGTTCCTCCGAGATATCATTGCCGAGAACCCTACCACCTTCCGACTTTTCGGTCCTGACGAGACCGAATCCAACAAGCTCGGGAAAGTTTACGAAGCGGGAAAGAAGGTCTGGCTGGGCGAGTACTTTGAGGAGGATAAGGACGGCGGTAATCTGGCCCCCGAGGGTCGTGTTATGGAGATGCTCTCTGAACACACGTGTGAGGGTTGGCTGGAAGGCTACATTCTCAGCGGTCGCCACGGTCTCCTGAACAGTTACGAGCCGTTCATTCATGTCATTGACTCGATGGTCAATCAGGTATGTTTTCCTCTTTTTATTACCACATGAATCATCACTGACATTGGTTTCAGCACTGCAAATGGCTCGAGAAGTGCTTGGAGGTTGAGTGGCGTAACAAGGTCGCCTCTCTCAACATCCTCCTCACCGCCGTCGTCTGGCGTCAAGACCACAACGGCTTCACCCACCAAGACCCCGGCTTCCTTGACGTCGTGGCCAACAAGAGCCCCGAGGTAGTCCGCATCTACCTCCCGCCCGACGGCAACTGCCTGCTCTCCGTGACGGACCACTGCCTGCGCTCGTCCAACTACGTCAACGTCATCGTGGCCGACAAGCAAGAACACCTGCAGTACCTGCCCATGGAGGACGCCCTCATCCACTGCACCAAGGGCATTGGCATCTGGCCGCAATTCAGCAGCGACCGCGGCGAGGAGCCGGACCTGGTCATGGCCTCGTGCGGCGACATCTCGACGCACGAGTCCCTGGCCGCCATCGACTTGTTGCTCCAACACTTCCCCGAGCTCAAGATCCGCTGCGTCAACTGCGTCGACCTCTTCAAGCTGATCTCGCACGACGAGCACCCGCACGGCCTGACGGACGCCGAGTGGACGGCCCTGTTCACCGACAACAGACCCGTCATCTTCAACTTCCACTCCTACCCCTGGCTCGTCCACCGCCTGACGTACAAGCGGCCCGGTTCGCGCAACGTGCACGTGCGCGGCTATCGCGAGAAGGGTAACATCGATACACCCCTGGAGCTGGCCATCCGCAACGGTACGGACAGGTTCAGTCTCGCGATGGAGGCTATCGATCACATGACGGGTTTGCTGGGTAATCGTGGAGCGGCGGCGAGGGAGCAGCTGAGGAATGAGCAGCTTAAGGCGAAGGCGATGGCGTTTGAGGTGGGCATGGATCCGCCGTTTTTGAAGAATTGGACGTGGCCGCATACGGGGCTGTGGAGTAAGGGGCAGCCGAGGGTGGCTAGTGAACAGCATCTTCAGTGAGTGGATGCGGGAGGGAGAGGGTAGATGATAGAAGTAGTCCTGATAGAGGATGGATGGATGGACCAAAGATATCCAGTGAGATGAAGGAAGGGAGGGAGATAAAATGGCGTTTGGAGGCCATAGGGAGCTGGGGATGTTTTTTTACGATTTTATGATCTTGTACTAGGAGTTTTCTTCAAGGATAATTTAAAAAACAGATTTCAGTTCAACCTTGGATTACTGCGCATGCAACCTTTTCTTCGAGCATTGTCAATGTTAGGAACAATATGCAGTTTGTGTTCGTCGAACGCAAGCAACTGCGAGCCAGTTTGGCATTTTTGGATAGGGTTGCATATAAACCCACCTGCGCGACCCGATTTCCAACAAACCAACTACGACAGTTGCCTCACAACTGTAAATCTTCCGTAGTATAGTGGTCAGTATGTGAGCTTGTCAAGCTTGAACATCTCAGTTCGATTCGCTCGAGACCCGGGTTCAATTCCCGGCGGGAGAGACCAAAACTTCTTTTTGCGCTTTGGCGCGTGAACCCACTTTTGGGAATTCTCTTTTTGGGTTTGTTTCTTTTGCTTGACTTCTACGCTCCCTTTTCTTTTCGCCTGTCTGTAAAAAGAACATGAAGGTAGTGTGTTCCATATTCGCTTTTGTAGTAGTCTACTACATGTCCGTGCTGTGGTTTGACTTATCTTATTAACTAACAAAGTCCGATGTAAGCTACTACTCGTCAGGTCTACAAGTTTCTGATTCTGTCGTAAAAGCTTTCTTGTCACTTGTGAATAAGTTGCTGCATCCGACATTTCACACTCCCCAGTTGAATCACTCCCAATCTTCTCGCTTTTCTTCCTTTGCTCAACCTGACTTCTAAATGATACCTCCCGACCCGACACCAAAGAAAACACGACTGACATTCTTGTCTACCAAGCACTCTCTCATTTGCATGCAATGCACCCTTTGCTGAAAAGCGTAACGCGAGCGATGTGAAAATTCCTGTGAACATACGTACATAATGCTAACCTTCGAACATCGTCATCAACCAATCATGGCAGCTCAAATCAGCTGCCCGGCTAGCTCAATCGGTAGAGCGTGAGACTCTTAATCTCAAGGTTGTGGGTTCGACCCCCACGTCGGGCTCAATTCCCGGCGTTTACAACGCCTTCTCTTTTTGCATTTTTTTTTCTCTCTCGTTTTTCCTTCCCCTTTGCTCTCTTTCTAGGAGCCTTTCTTTTCTTCTGGACCCTTTTTCTTTCTTTCCTCTTCTGCAGTGCCGTTTTTCGCGATATTTTTTCGCTCTTTTTTTTTTTTTTTCCTGTTCTCGTTTTAGCAGTGATGAAACTTTTTTGTGGCAGCAGCTTTCAGATGAAGCGAAAATTGTGGCATTTCTACACACACACACAAAGATGGTTGGAAACAACATGCAGTGAACACACACACACACACACACACTGACGCGGACCAGACGTTGCGCGACTCGATTTCCAATCCCCGCCACTCGGCAGTTGAGGTTTGAACCGCCGCGCAATGTCATCGCGAATTCCCGTGACATCGCGATACCAGACGAAAATGGGTTCGAGCGGCACGGGAACTTGACTTCCCGGGCTTTTCGTCTGATTCGGGACCTGCTTGATGTGTTAAGTGGAATTGCCATGTGTGCCGCGTGCAAGCACGCACACACGCACGCACGCACGCACACTCGAGGCACGGCTTTTTTGCAGTGCATTATGAAGACTGCGTGCAGACTCTTTGTTCCCGTCCCGCTCGAGTGGGAGAGGGGATCCTGGGATCTTGGGAAAAAAGATAGGGATTGTTCAGATTACATAAATCCTTACAATTATTACAAACCAAAGTCTGTGCTGTGTTTTGTTTATGCGGCGGGACGGAACCATTCCGTTTAACTTTCTAATAGTTTACCCGTCCGTAAGCGTCCAAATTCTCTTCATGATATTTTCCGACCGTGGCTTGAATCTGATGGGCTGGCTGATGCTACCAAAGTCATTATTGGGCACTTCTAATATTTTGGACGCGGCATCAGGGGAAGGTTGTCGACGTCATATTTTCGACTTTGGTGTTGTTGACAAAGAGAGGATCCTCGATGAAATAATGTATGTGGTTCCAGGAGAGTAGTTAGCGAGGGATCCTTACAGATTGTCATCCAAATCGCGGCCCCTACAACACCGTTTTGGATCCCATTTCGTCGAGATCGTTGAAGCTCTGCATCGTGAAGTGTACATGTTGCAGATAAGCGTAGATTTGTTCGCTTGGACGTCGGACGTCGGGGTAAGCATGTATAACGACGAAAGCATGAAAGTCCAATCGACGTCTGCGGAGGGGACTCCAGAACTGCAGAATATCTCAGAACAAGGAGACGAATGATCGGTGATGCGGGAGGGGAGCAAAGTCTCCGGCCAGACCTCAAAAGGTACCGCACAACGTACAGGTACGGTGTAAGTGATAAGAGATAACAAAAAGTTAAACTCCCCGAACCTGAAGTGAAGGGACGGATCGACGAGATGATTTGCGCTATACCTCACTGGATATATTTAAGTATACCTGACCAAGGCCGAGAACCTGTGAAAATGTGCTTGAACATGGCGGTGGACTCGGACTTGAGCTTGTTGTTCTGATCTTGTAACGGCTCTGCCGAGAGTTGGTGCTAGTGTACTAAACCGGCCTCAAGGACCAGGATAGGATTGGCACCAGAGTCAAAAGACACTCGGCGTGTATGGGATGGAGGCACCCCGTTACATCAGTGGGTCGAGCTAAACTCGGCATGGGAAAATAGTACAGTAGTGAGGCTCTTCGGGATAGTTAGCAAGGCATGTGAAGTGCTTTCTCGTGGCCTCAAGTGACTTGCATGTCACAAACTGGCACCGTTGGCGGCTCCACAGGGGCAGGTACTGCTTGGTTGACAGCCGACAACATGCAGATAGTCTCACCATTTGGTCCTTCGATGATGCTATGGTAGCGGCCTCTTGAAGATCAAGGGATCTGTAGTCATACGGATGAACGGGACTGCGCGACCCTGAGATTTGCGGTTCTCGAATTGTCGTCGAAAGAGGATGACATCAACTGTAATCTGGAGACCAATTAGCAATTTGTGAGAATCGGTTGTTATATAAGGCAGTGTAAGAATGACGCAACGGTGGAGCGGGGCAGGCACGGCACAGGTGGGGACAGCGGACGGGAACCAAAAACGTTAATCGCATGGGCGGCGGAGCATGGCATTCTGAAATCCCATACGCACCTAACCCGGAATCTTTTCCCCTCTCGAGCCCCCCCCCTTTGCTCGTGTCTCCCCAACCTGCCCAACCGCTCGGGTTGCACTTTTGAGTTTTCATCGCCACGGGTAAGTCTCCGACGATTGTCAATTGCTCGTTGTGGTGATGCCAAGCCAGTTTCTTTCACGGCACATCGAACATGGCACATCACAATGGACGTCGGGAAGGAAGCACAAGGCAAACTGTTGCGGGAGCTTTTCTCCGGGCGATTGGGTTAGCTTAGGGCCGGTGCATGTGGCAACAGCTCTGGAGGCATGGTAAGCTTGTCTCCTGCCGCTCAATATAGCAGCGTCGTAACCGAAGTTGAACCTGAAGAGATTGGAAGCACTGCATAAGAATTGAAACGCAAAAAGAAGAGGAAGATTCTGAGCCGAGAACAACTGGTACGGATTCAGATATGTGTCGGACTTGGGTTTGTCTTATTGGCCCAGCGAAGTTATAAGAAAAAGTGGGGTTTGAAGAATTGTTAGTGTGTTCTGAACGGGCACGTACCTCCCACGTCTCCAGCTGCTTCCAGTGCGCACTGTCCTTTCTTGGCTGTTTGATCGGAGCAAACTCTCCGGACCATCTCTGAAGCAGACAAAACAGCGGTAGGGAACCAGTCCAGGACGACGACACGGCCAGAGATAATCGGCAGCACAACAGGGCGCCAACACCCTGTTCAACCATCACGACACTGAAGCGGCGATAGCAAAACCTCGATGGAATGCATCGCGAAGACACACAGTGTTATGCTCCCCTTCACATATGTTGCACGTTGTGTGGTTGGTAGCTCGGCTCACTCGGGAATTCGGCATCACATCGATTTGACCGGTAATCACCATCTCGATTTCAAGTAACATCCGGAACTTCCCATTATTGCCAAGCACATGCTCACCTTCTTTTCTTTAAGTCGTTGAAACTCTGCCCAGCTACCTGACTTTTCCGCTGAGCTACCCCTGGACCCTAACTCCTGTTCAGTCAAACGTTCAGACACTTCATCTGAAGCTGGAATTGCTGGAGACGCCCACTCGGGTCAAGCTGGACCGCGTCCAGCATTCATTATCCCACCAGGCTGCAGTACAACATCATAAATGCTCACCAGGCCCTTGCTGAGCTGCTCAAGCTGCTGTCAAGACAAGCTGCGCTGCCGTCAGCTTTCAGCAGTCGGTAGATGACAGTCTGTTGAATCGTATAAGATAAGGTATCGAAAAATGAGGACTGACGATCCCATTAATAACCTCCCTGCTACGTACATATCTTTATCAATCCATAATTGTTTTGGGAATTGAGGCTGTAGCGTCAACATGACGTAACGGGACCAGCACTCTACGATACCGGCCGGCACCAGCACCATCCACCGCCCGTATCAAGCCTCAACTTTGGCGGTATCCACAACCACACTCCCCTTGGGGTCTGAGAAGACTGCGCCATGCTTCGAGTTGAAGACAGGGCCTTGTGAATTTTATTTTGCGGCTCTGAATTGAGATTTTCTAAGCAATGTGTGAATGCTCCCTCAGCATGAACAGGCCCAATCGAGCTCATCTGGCTCACAAGATTGGTGCCCGCTATGTAAACAGCTGTCTTGGTAGCTTCCCGAGTTCTTGGTCGTGGCAGCTTTGGAGTCAGCTCGTCCGATGTTGAAGCTCTGTTTTGGTGACTGTTTCGAAAAGGTCTAGAATCCTCGAGCAACTTAGTTGTCTTGTAGATCATAACTCAATTCGGCGAATACGTCTCCCAATTTCTTGGCAGTCAATGTCCATCAATGGAATCTCCAACTTGAGCTTGAGCTCGGCATGCAAGCTGTGGTGCCGCGACCCTTTGAACAGACCTGGTCCTAGCATGTGTCCCCACGATACGGCGGGCTGGATTCTCAACGACGGGAATGTGGTCCGCTAGCGCTGGATGAAAGTATAGTCAAGATAAGTGTAGCACATGGAAGCTGAACATAGTAGTGTACAGACCGAAGCTCAACAGCTTCTTCTGAGCAATGTCAGGACATGAGACATTGAAGCTTCTGAAGCTCTCCAAAGCTCTCCATCAAGGTACTGAACTTTGCGAAATCAGAGCGGGGCAGTGGGCACCTTAAGTGGACTATCCGAGGGAAGCCGCATCCGCCACTAACAATTATCTGATTGGCTGTTAGCCCCGCAGTACCGCACAGTCCTACAGTGCCTTTCCTGCCTGGTCGGTACTTGAACCACGACTGGCGACGTAACAGGCACGGCCAAGCCCTTGAAGGTTTGCAACCACAACCGCGATCGAGATCGATCAACACTCGGGTGCTCTTGTTGTCTGTCAGCGGCTCTGTGGATCGCTTTTGGATCGAAACGAGCAGCCAAACATAGCCAATCCCGTCGACCACACTCCGGACCGAAACAGCGCCGCCCACTTCCTACGCCTTTTGAGTCTTTGACACTCTCCGCCCATCCCAGGAACGTCGACGCTGTCCCAATGACAGTCCCCGTTCCCCTTGTCGCCCTTGTTGCCGGCTAGTTTCCGTCTCCACGACTGCTGCGGTAGCTCCAGGTAGGCAGGAGGTGTCTTCACAAATCCTGTTCTCCCTCATCCGGAACAACAGTTACCTCTACGCTTCTGCTTAGTGAGCACTTCCAGGAACAAGAAGCCAGGGACGATAAACACGACGTTGGACTCGCCCCAGCCGAAAAGCCAATCCGGTACTGCGTAGAGAGCGAGGGTCAGTCAGCGAGGGTACCTGCCTTCTCCACCTCCATGGATGTCTCCGCTCGCCCTTCCAGGCTTGCGTCAAAGGTACCGACTTGTCCAAGATCCCGATCTGGGCGGGTTCGTTACGCATCCGCCGTACTGACCGGAAACAGACCTACAAACACGTCAGGTTCCCAGCGTCTAAATAAAACACCGTTTGCTCCCCTACCAAACCCCCGCTTGTTCCAAATATTTTCCTACCGGTACACAAGTTGACATTCCACACATAGTCCACCACCACCAGTTCCGATTACGCCCTTCTCGTACTCGTCCCCGCTACTACTACAGCCCACGAGCTTCGACATCCATCAAACATACTACTATTATTCTTAATATACCAATACCTCGGGTCCAAGTGTCCCGTACGAACCCTTCATAATCGCTCCACCGCCCCGTGAACCATTGTTTCATACGCTGTGTGTGAATTCCTCGACTTCCGAACAACACTGGGCGAACCACTCTTCGACTATCCACACCATTCACGAGGCACGACTACCATAACACCGAGCTCTAGGCACGGATATTTTGTTTCTCAGACCCTGTATACCAGCCTGACCAGCCTATCACCCATTGGCCTACGGTGTACATTCATATAAACAGGACCAGAAGCGAGGGCTCCCTGACAGGCATTAGCCATGGCACCGAGAGATCCGAGAGTTAAGCAGAGGGGAGGGAGCATCTCCCAAGCCAGCCAACCAAACCCGGCGACACAGGACAGCATCGAGGTGAACACAACAGAGAAAGTCAGATCAAAGGTTGTGGCGGGCCGAACAGAAAAGCCAAAGCCAAAGGTACGCCGACCATCCATTAGTCCCCAGGATTACAAGACCGGAAAGACTAACTCCACAAAAGCCTCAAGATGCTCGAACCCACGAAGCCAACCAGGAACGCGCCTATGTAGCGGCATCTCGTCGCTCAGACCGTAGTCTCGAGGCCCGTCTCCAGTCGGCTAGGTTGGCATCTGAAATCCACAAGAAGCGTACCGGTAAGGGCTTCAAGATCACCACTGAGGCTGTCCTGAATGACGCGATGTACGAGGAGGAAGAGGAACCCAGGACAGCCCGGCTACCGTATGCCACCGGCAACTTCCAGAATTTCGCTTTGGAGCAGCATTACCAGAGGGTCAATGCCCAATTTGCGGAGGCCTTTCCAACTCTACTTCAACCTCCAGCGATGCCTCTTGTCCCACAGTACATGCCAATGCCCCAGCAGCGAACAATGTCGATGATGTCCATGAACTCAGCCCCTTCTTACGGTCTCCCGCCAAACCATGGCATGCAGCAGTTCCGCGAGAGGACACAGTCAGTTCCAAACATCCCCTTGGTATCAGCAAACTCGGCCAACTCAACAAGTCCTGGCATGCCCCACGGCTTTGGACAGAGGACACAGTCACTCCCCGTTGTCCCGCCCATATCAACCAATTCACCGACTCTATCCGTTTCCCATCGTCCCGCCGGTTCTCACACCAGAAACTCGTCAATGTCCGAGTTTTCGCCACCTCCGGCTCTCACACCCAGCGTCGGCGATGGGACACCTCCGCTACCGGGACTTCTCACTCCGACCTTTGGCCATGAAAACTTCGACAGCTCGACGACAATGCAGCCTCGCTATCGACAGTCATCAGTTACCTCTACCTCCGATGCCCCTCTTACTCCACAGTCAGCGATGTCCGTATTACAACCGACGCAGGCAGGCCATTCCGCCGCTCTCCCAAAAGCCTCGACGGATGGCGTGAATCAGCTGGCCAGTGAACCCCAGTTCTATCCAAGCTATGTCGATGGCTCTTTTGAGCATTTCGATGACTTGTATAACAGCCTGTCACAACAGCCTCTCGATCTGGACGAGTCACGCTCGTTCTATCCGTCATTTGCACAGCAGGACGAAAACGCGCCCATGTTCTTTCAATCACAGACAGAGAAGCCTAAGGAGCCCGACACCGAGCCTGATCCACTGGTTAATAATGATCACGACACGTTTGTGGACTGGAATGGAGGTGGCGTTTAAGGTGGAGTGGTTCTGTGGGTGTTTGGGCAGTGATGCTATTGCAGAGCATTGATAAGTGACGTGACCAAAAACACGGAGCAGAGCAGAAAATATCACTGCCTTATGCTGGAATTTTGTGGGTGTTTTTATGCAATTATATCTGGGAAAGATAAATTTTTGCCGGAAAAGACAAAAAGCTTTCAACGGCGCTGTAAAATCACTCTTATTAGCGGGTAACAGGGAGTTTGGGCTGGGACGGTGGGATGGCATACTGCTTTGTAATGATATAAGAGCGTGATCCAGAGCGTACTAATTTGGTGACCGGGTGAGAATTCGGACCCGGCATCTAGAAACTATCTATTGAGGAACCAATATACACTTTTCTGAAGAGTCTTGAACTTATGATCTGATGAGCCCGGTCAGCGAAACAGATCCCAGTTCGGCATGGTAACTCGTTATATCATTCGCATCTTGCTCTGTCCTGGAACATTCGGCTTCGAATGTGAAATCACAATAGACGTCAGAACAAACAGCGTGGGATCAATATTCCGACCGAGACTACGATGTTATTAGGCCATGTGGATCTTTTTATACGTGCCACTTACTCAAGCAGCACAGGTGTCACAGAGAACTCTGAACGCCGAAAGAAGAACGTAAAAGGGATGTCAAGTGGTCAAAAATGCGTTGGTTCTAAGTTCACATGCATTTGTAAGGGCCTGAAAGCCATACAAGAAAAAAGAAAAAGCGTTTTGCGATGGTGTTAATCTCTTTTGGGAGAATGCCGAAGCCATGTCGAGAACTTGCTAGGCATGGATATTTGATATGTAGTTACACAAAGAAGAATGGAAAGAAAGAAAAAAGGAGAGAAAATAACAGAAGACCAAGAGCAAGACTATTAGATCGAACATCTAATAGCTGAAAGCAAAGGTGTGGAACGAAATATGTTGCAACCAACTATGGTTGCCGGATTGAAAAAAAAACACCCTAAAACCAGCCAGTTAGTATTGCGTACCTTTCAACATCAGGAGAAGAAAAGGGACTCACGACTTCTACTTCCGCTCCCTCTAGTGGTTCCGCTTCTGCCTCTTAGCCAACAGCTCCTCAAACCCAGCATCCAGCGCTGCCTTCCTACGCCGGTCTTTCTCGACCTGGTTTACTGGTTGCGGGAAGAAAGGGAAGCCGCGGTCTTCGAGTATGGGTCCCTGTCCCTGTCCGGAGCCCGTGTTGAATCCGGGCGGGAATCCGGGCGGCGGTCTGGCGGCGGTCCTGGGTGTGTTTGCGGCAGTCATTGACTCCGAGGGGCGACCCCATTCTTCCGGAGAAAAACTTAAACCAAACGGCGCTGGGCCTGGTTGTGGGGTTACCGTACGCAGGTAGAAGTCCCTTGCGTCGCTCTCGCTCATTCCGAAGTACGAGGAGGAGGATGAGCCGAAGTCGTAGACGCCAGTACCAGAGCCAGCACCACTATTGGGGCGAGATAGAGCTTCCCGCTGAGAACCATAAAACTGAGGTGGCTCGGCAGTATCCGAAGTAAACGTATTGCGCCTAGACGAGGATGATGGAGGGTTGTTGGAGTTGAAAGGCTGTGAGCGTGAGCCCTGAGACTGGGTGTGGAAGTTGCCGTTGCCGCCAATGCTGCTTTTGTTGGTTGTGAAACCAAACTGAGATGCTTGTGAACGGAGGATACGGGGTGGAGGCGGAGGGAGACCATCGTACTGGGTGTGCACCTGGCTGTGAGCCAGATAGGATTGTTGGGCTTGAGAGTGTTGAGAAGATCGAGAACCGGCCCTGGGAAAATTATCAGGCAGCGCGAACTGCGAGGCGCGAGGGGTATTCAGGTCATCATCGCTGATGCCAGTGATAGTGCCCGCGCCAGTGCCAGCGAGCCCGGAGGAAGCGGAAGTGCCGCCCATTTCAACATCTATGGGGTTATTGCTGCTGCCAGTCTCCATTCCACCCCCCAAGGCTCCAGAACGAGCGCGATTACCACCTCCTGCGCCATAACCTCGAGGTCCTACTTGAAGCCCAAAGCCACGAGATTGCTTCTGGCTCTGAGGCAGAACTGGAAAAGGCTCAACCACAGCTTCTCGAAAATCAGCACTCCGCCTGACAGGAGGAAGGTGCGCGTAAGGAATTTGATGAGCCCCACCGGCGGAACCAGAAGGCGCATCAGCGCGCTCCTTCCCTTTTCCTTTTGGGTCTTGCGATGAGGAGGAAGCAGGAACGATCAAGCCCATACCGGCTTTGTGGGGCGGCGGCGCGTTGGGATCGGAGCTGGAGTCGCGGAAATTGGTGGTGTCGTAGCCTGAGCGACCCATTTTGGCTTTGTTTTAGGCTCGTTACTGTGCTCTTCCCGTTCTTGATGGCAGTATTGAAGGGTTGTGGTGTGTTCGGTGAGTGGTTACCGCCGGCGTTGAAGCCGTTGGGAAGGCGCGAGTGGATGGTGACGTGGTGAGTGCCTTCCTTCACTGCCTTGGAAGGTGAGGCGCGACTGAGAATGGATGAGGTAGGGCTGAGATCCTTTGATCTGAGGGAATCCGACGTTTGACAGAGATGTGCTTGTTGTTTGGTTACTTTTTGACATGCAAAAGAGGTTGGTTGTGACGAGGCGAAAATGGGCAGTTGATGTGAAGTGGGTGCTGTTGATTGTGGTTTCATATAAGAAGGAGCTGAGGGCGGAAGGAGGGGATACATAGACGAGAAAACACCCGTGAATGAGGTGTTGGTATTCTTGAATTCTTGCTGAATACGAAGTGAGTGTATACAGTCCTGATATTGTTCCCAAACTCCGTGTGACTGGTCTTTCTGCCTGAGATGGGGAGTGCTTGTATTTCGTTTGATGCTTTGGATTCTTTTGTCCAAGCCAAATTGTGCGCCAGTGTTTGCTTTGTAAGTAAAAGACGGAAGGAAGGAGGTACTCGTCATGGCTACTGAGAGTCAAGATGGAACCCACTCAGCAAGTCACTTGGAGGGACCTCGCTTGGGCAGCTTAACCTCTTCTTCCGGCCCTAGCCGATGGCCGGTAAGCAATGAGTACCATTACGAAACCGAGACCTGGAAGCCTTTGCTCATGTGACTAAAGCTTCTCGCTGGTTCCTTTTGATGAGGTTGTTGAAGTTGGAGACATCGCGATGCGAATATGCGTCTGCAATCACATCGGGAAGCATGAAAGAGATAGCTATCAAAGACGAGCGATGAAGAAAACCAGAACCTGAATCAGGGGTACCTGCCTCTCAAAAACTTCAATCTTGAGCCATGGAATACTGTTTTGCTTCCGAGTGAGGCATCTTTTCATGTAGCTATTCTATCGTTGGAAGGATGGCGTTCGATCAAATTCACAACATAGGCGGGCGAAGACATTCGAATTCCGGACAATAAACTCAAAGCCTGCATTACCGGAGCGCGGATGCAAGTTAACTTTCCCCTACATTGAGAAGGAGGTTTTGGGAGGCTCTCGGGGATGATAGGATGCGTTTCCGAACAATGAACGGCGTTTGCTTTGCTCCCGCGACCCTTTGTCCGTTGGTGTGTTGACGCCCCGGGAGAACTTCCAAAAGGGAGTGGACATGTACAATAATAATTGAAGACGAAGGAAGAATGTTGAGAGTACCATTTGAGCTAGAGAGAGGACTGTTACTAGCGAACTTCAACTTGGAATTGTTTCTATCAACTTTATACTTCCGCAAGCGTAGCTACTTGACGAAGTTGTTTTCCACCCCGATGTCTCCTCCATCACAATGTGCCGACTGAATGTGAGCTGTGAGGTTGAAAGACTCGCTTAATGGAGTCGATAGGTGAGCAAAATGCCAAACGATCCCTTTTCCATCCTTGCGGAGAACCTAGACCTAGTCCTCGACCGTAGCCAACTCGCCCTCCAGTGCCACTTTTGATCCGCCTGTGCTGATAAGCAATAGTTTGCAAATTCAAATCACCGCGGTTGATGACTTGGGGGCCTCATGAGCCGCTTCCAACTGAGCGGTGAACATCGTGACCGAACCGTGACTAGGTACTAGCCCAGTTTCCTGCTCCCTCCACCATGCATTGCAAGTACGATCCAACCCAAAGGCGACCTACTTAATCGTCTTCCAGATCGAGTTTCTCCCTGACTGGCCACAAAGAAGTTTTGTGCGCCATCAAAACAGCAATCTTTGCCGAAACTTCTTTATGTTCTTTGTCGGGGTAAACCGTAAGGTGAGAGTTGAAGCGACCTCCGGCAATATCGCCATTACCGTACTCCCCGGCAACATCGTCCTCCACCACGCATGTCTTCTCATGCTGAATCACTCTGTACTCTCTGTGACGATGAATTCCATCGCCGAAAATAACTTTGATGATGTCGGTTTCGTAGTAGTTGGCCAGTGTGAAGTCATTGTGCAGGCCGGCTTTCGGAACTTTGGCAATGGTTCCCTTGTGGACTTTCATGGCATTGTCAAGTACGGCAGCCAGGGCTTGGATGTCCACACATGGCTTTTCAAAGTCCTTAAGAACTACAGCTATGTTTAGAAGATGGTCAAAACTCAAAAGAAGAGTATGGAGGTTGCTTACAAGCGGAACTCACTTGAACGACCGTCGTCCAACGAGTCCAAATCTTGATTGTTCCACCCTCGGACTCGGCTGCATAGTTTCCCAGCTTGTGAGGTGCTGCTATTGACTGGAACTTGAGACTCGGGTAGGAACAGGTCAGGAGGCACAGGGCTCGCTTCATCGCCCTGATTGCGCCGTCATGACTGATGCACTGGGTTACCTTGAGCCGAAACGGACGGAAGCTGGCACCGCAGGAGAAGTGAACGACTTGTTCAAAGCCAAGGGGTTCATCGATAAACTCTTCGCCGATGGAAAGCCGCTCAAGCGAAACACCGGGAAGATTCAGCCGGCATATAACCTCCAGCGTTCCCGCGTCCAGAGGAAGAAGAGTGGTGTTGTCAGCGTTCCCCAACTCTTCGTTGAAACCCTCGGCAATGAGTGACTCGACCGGAGGCGAGGGCGGAGGAGCCTCAAGCAGCTTCGCAATCTCGGACTTGGTGGATGGCATTTTCCTTGCTATCGAGGTGATGTATTATGGTTGTGATCTCGGTATGGGGGTTTTGATTGCTCGATACCACTCGACGAACGTAGCTCTGGCTGATGAGTTCTTGAGTTGAGAGTAGAAGGGAGATTTTCTCGCAAAACAAAGGAAGAGTGATAGTTTTTTAAGTATCTGGAAAGAGGGGTTACAAAGCGAGACGGTGAGAGTCAGAGACTCGCAGTTCTGACTCAACTGTTATCTTGTCTCCAGTTAAGATGAACTATCGGTAGCCTCACTTTTTGACTGGCGAGATGTGTGTTGTCTTTGTCTCGAGAGAAATTCGGATGAAAGTAGGTTTCTATTCAAATAGAAAACCGAGCGAGGAAAGTACCATACAGTGAGAGCATCACTCCTTCCATGTAGCGTTCACTCCGAAATCTACCTATCACCACTGGCCACTGCGACCAATAAAGCCAAGAACTTTGGAAACGGAAGTCGCAACCAACAGTGATCCTATGGCATCCACCACGGACTTTACAGGAGGGAAGAAGCGGTAAAACCTTCTCTCCAGGCTCATCCTATCGCTTGCGTCATCGGATCATAACCCAACCCCTCCCAAGAAGTTGAGGCAGCGATTATGGATATGGAAAGCAATCATCTGATAATAAGATCATTATCTTCCAGGGGCAAACCCGTTTCAGCATTTGACGATGAGCCGATCAGCGACCCGGTGTGCACTGGCTATCTACGTGTAGACGAATAGCTAAGCAGGTTGTGACCCAAAGGTGAGTTCAAAGTCAACGACCAGAGGTGAGACTTGAGTGCTTTGACAACAAAACTCCGTGAACTCGACCTGTATGTCAATCATGACCATGCTTATTGGGGCAAGTGTCATCTTGATGGTGAAGAAGTTTTAAAGGCCTGGTATGCAGTCCACCTTCTTCTAGGCTTGTAATCAAAGATGAAACGGTAGTCGTTGTGACTCAAGCGATCAAGTGTATGGCAAAGAGCAATGTGAAGATCGAACATGCCTAGATAGGTATGATCCATGACGAGGCAAGAGAGATCCTCCCAATTCCCTCCTGGCTCGATGGGCGTCTGTTTCTTGCGTTGGATTTTGCCGACTCAGGACTGCTGAAGGTTGATTCTGTTCGAAAACCGGAGTTGCCGGTCTAGTCGACTCGTCGATAGCGATCGAGATTGTCACGAGGAAAAATTGCAAAGCCAATCACATGTGGCTTGAAACGTGGTGACAGAACATTTTTTTTGAGCGGGTCTATAGTCTATTCTACCCTTTGCAAGCTCCCAGGCCTCCGGATTAACGCCGTGGTTGAATTGCCGACCTTGGTATAGATAAACTCAATGTAATACAACGCTGCCCACTTCCTATCCTTCTCTGCAGACTCATCCTGTTGTGTACCGGGTACACCACATGTACATAATTCCGAAGAAATTCCTCCCTGTTGTACAACTGGAAGAAAAAGTGCCGTGAGCGATATATGCATCATCCTCCGACAGCAGTGTGACTGGCTGCCATGTCCCTCGGTCTTCTCCTTCCTTTCCTTTCTCTACCTAGGTCATGGCTTGACGGGCTGGGTCAGCCACGACTGCATGCCAATTTGACATCCCATCATGTTGTGAAAGCCAAAAATGTCGCAGAATATCCCCGACAAAAGGCAACCTCCTGTTGTGAAATGCAAACGAGGTACGACACCAAAGCACGATGACGCCGATGAAGGAATCCAACATGATGGAAAGCAAAAGAAGCCACAAAGCATATTCTGTCTGGTAGAACTCCTTTTTTCCGATGCAAACCAGCGGGTGTTCCTCCTCTATGCTGTGCTATTCCCTCACACCTCCCTTCATGTCCCTTGGCCTTGGCCTTTTCTGGAAGAAGTAATCGTCCAGTGCCCTGAATGCCGCTCTCCTTGGCCGTTGATGCGATGCAGCCAAGGAGACGGGGTATCCGTGCCAAGCCCATCACCGCAAACGCCACTGCCACACGGGGACAGGGGCATCACAAGCGGCTTGATGAACCGACTGGCTAATATCAGATGCAGTGGTGTCTCTGAGATCTGACATTTTACGGTCGGTGAACTCTAGGTAGTCCGAGTGTTGTCGAGCAGAATCGTGGTGAGTGATGGTGGTACAAGACCGAGGTCTTGTTGACTGCCGAACGCTGAGTACTTGGCGCCATATACTGAATGAATAAAAGGCAAACGATGCAACGCCAGCGCAATGAGTGCAATGCAAGCCGAAACCCTAACCCATAGTCGTGCGCGTGGTGCACGGTACTCTGACACCATTCCCAAGCCCTAATGCAGACCAAAAACCGAGCAGATTCCATGCGTTTTCAGTGCCGAGAGCTCATCATCAAACCAAGTGCAGCTCGGTCTTGGCGCTTCAGTGAGTTTTGGCTGATGCGTTGCGTGGCCGAACTGCTGAATGGAACCCAGTTTTGCTAGTCCGTTCCTGATGGGTGTTGCTCAAGTGGTGAGGCGTTCGAAGCGGTTCAACCTTCGGGGGTTGTGAACTTCGAAGCTGATGACTGCGGGTTTGTCTTCGAAACTGATGTGTTGACGAGCCAGGGGTCTTTCGACGACCTTGATGGGTGTCTGAGTAGGCTTTGCAATCGAAGACACCTTTGATAGGATGTGAATGCTATCATTGTCGTCGTTGAGGGAGCGTCTATCGTGGGGGTAGGGGGTAGGCGACCGGTGGCGGGGCGACTTGGGCCTGCTGAAGAGGAACTCGCCGCGCTTGTGTTGGTGTCTAGACATGGAGGAGCCCATTTTGGATGTTTGTTTGTTTTGAGTTGACTGAGTGGTGAAGTAGGTGTGGTAAGAGAATTGACTTGAATGTTAAGAGAGATAGATTGGTGTATGTATCTGACTGTGAGGGGTTTACCCAAAGAGAAGAAGCTCTGAAGACGTTTTTGTTGTTGGAGATGTAAGATGGGATTCGAAGTGGAAGAGGAGGAGGAGAGGCCTGGGAATGAGGCCTTTAAATGTAATGGAGGAGGAATATGACACTGGTCATGGAGATCACAAAAGCCAAGCTCCAAGCCAAGACAGAGAGCGGGCTGCATACGGGCTGACGAAGAAGATGGAGGAGACACGCGGACCCCCACCAGAATCACCAATGCCCGGCGCACAACCACGGGCATGGAGTCGGCGATGCAGCGAACGGTGGTGTCTTGGAGTGTTCATGATGCTTATTTCTTGGCAACATGATGGACCGGCACGATCAGATTGGCTCAGATTGGACCCCAAATGGCGCACATGGTGGGCGCTATGCCCATTCAGTGCCATTGCAGCCCACTTGTAGTGTGGTGTCACGGGCGCGTTGTTGTACACCTTGACGAACAGGGCAAGCTCGAGTTCCACTCCTCTTGCACCCTTCGGCACCTGTAGCTCGGCACCTCAGGATATCTGCTGCGGGGTTGCTGCCGAGTGCGACTCTTGCACTGCTCACGAGTTCACCACTATCCACTGCCAACACACCCCGATTGATGGAGATATCACATGAAGCTATTTTTGATAGTGTCATCATTTCCAACTTGACGAGGCATGCCTGTCGCAAATCCGGGGTTGTAAGGAGGAAGTTGGGCCAAGCATCGCTACACGGGCCACCATGTCGCTTGGGTCTTGGTCTCTTGGCAATAGCAACAGCAATTGTCTACGCAACGGTATTTTCCGCCCACAAGATTGGCATCTCTTTCCAATCGACCTCTAATCTCAACAATACAGTACTGCACGCTTGGCGGTCTCTGGGCGGTCGCCAAGCCGACACCTAATCCTCGCTGCAGATCCTTGGCTTGGCATCGTGACCCGCCGGCCCGATTCGGCAGCAGGCGCAATCGAGCGGCTCATCATCAACACCTCAACAACCTGTGAGACGGGCAACTCTAGCCTTGACACTTCCGTCTTGCAAGGTCCCGTCTTCCTGATCTAATAAGGTACGCACGCAGTTTCACAGCCTCACACAGCTTCAAACCACTGGCAACCGCCAGAGTCTTGGTCCCAAACCACAGATGAAGCGCCAAGACGGGGGCTTGCCTTGGCAGATTGCCCATCGCGAGATCGCTCCATCATCCACAACTCTGCCCTGCGAGGCCTTGGAAATACGCAATGTCCCAAGCCATTGCAGGTCCCAAACAGCCACCACATAACAATTCCATCAGGGCGCAGTTCAACCCGCCGACCACTCCGGACAACCTTATCATGATGATCTGCGCTTCCAAGAATCTAGCGGCCATTACGCACACGAGCAATACAGACTATCGGTCTGCCTGGCACGACTCGGCACTAATATTGACATCGCTCAAAGGGGTAGGGACTTTGATGTTTGCAATCTCGCCGCCCAATGCCAGGTCATCGACAGGAGGTAATATCACATCATTCCCCCCTCGACTCTTCACTACTACTCTTGAGTCGCGCAATGCCTCCCTGCCAAGAGACGCTGTGCGCGTCGACAACGATATGGACAAAACCTGACTGACGCAAACTTGGAGTAGCACAGCGATCCAGCGATCCAGCGATCCAGCGATGCGATACAGTAGTCGAGAGACAAACTGACAAGCCAAGAAATACACAACTTGCTTAGCTACCACGAATTGAGAATGCCTCGACTAGATGGTTGCACCACCGTTCCTAGAGCAAGATCGGAATTGGGAGACGAAACGCCGGCATGGCAAATCTGACAGACAGCCCGCAACATCCGAGCCATAACGACGTCAATCACGACCGCCATCTTCCGCTCTTACTCGTCAAGGTCTCCATAAGGAACCCGGGCTCTATCACGGAAACCGCTGACTGCCGGCGCTCCTGAAGGTTCAACGAGCTGAATGTGGACTGCTGGAACTTCCAAGCTGACCTGGTCAGAATGACCATTACTAACCCTAACCCTCAAACCCTCGCCGTCCCGGGCCCCTTTTTCTTCATCCCCCCTTCTTCTCGTTCCAACGTTGGCACGCAACTGACAATACTACTACTACCTCACCTTTAGCCGCAGCATCAAGTTCATATTGAGACCGGCCACCGAACGCCAAGCACAAGCAGTCCGCTATGTATGTGGCTGCCGTCACCACCGCCCTGTCAGCTCATCTCACGATGTAGCCCGAACTCGATACAGACAATTCGCCAAGCCGTTACATCTACTGCTCCGAACCCCTTGGCATTCCCAAGATTCGTGAAGATTGTCCGACGGATGTCTCAGACTCTTTCCCATCCGTCCATTGTTGATAGGCAAGTGCCGGGAGGGGGTGACGAAATACGAAAGACCTTGTTTCCCTTTGCCTACCTACCTACCGAGCCTCCCGGTTGTTGTTTGCGAGAAACAAAACCACGCGACAGTTCAAAGAGACCTGAAAGATCTGGACCGATGGTTGGCATGCTCATAAAAGTGCATTTTGGAGATGAGTGAATGCCAGATGCCAGTCCTCCTCATCGCCAAGTCTTTGCAAGACACAGGTTCCGAGTTCACGGCCGACTTGCTCCCAGGTTCACGGTCTAGACTGTCAGACCTGCAGAGAGCCTCAAGGAGACCGGAACAAGGAGCCTCCTCGTTGAGGCCATCAAGGAGCGGGATAGACCGCTTTCATTTCTTTCCAGATTTTGGGGAAAAGCTCAAAGTATGCAGATGTTGGATTGCTAACTCTGTAGAGGTTCGTAACGCCCAATACTTCAGCCATCATCTAATTCCCAGCGCAACCACTGCCGATCTCGATATCACACCCTGCCACGGTATCCTGCCCACGGGTAGCGCCCAGAGGCTCCTGGCGAACAACCTCAACTTGATCCCCTCACCAGAACGCCGTGATATGTCTGCGCTCACTCAGAACGAACGTCCTCCGCATCCCATGACGCAACTGGTGCGTGCACAAGTTGGCCGTCCATCGCCCGCTTTGCTTTTCAACACTCAGAAACGAGCTGCTGTGTATCTGACCATTCCTCCTCTGTCCTATTCATCCAGGCCACCGCTCAAGAGTTCAACACATAAACGTGCTTTCTGGGCCAAAGCGAAGACTTGTGGGCTGTTCGAATAACAAGCTTTGTCTCCGCTTTCTTTCGGCAGATCACGCTGAACTCGGTGTCGAAAGAACCTTCTGTGCGTTCAAGGCCGTTCACCACCACAACAAAGGCATTGGCCTTGTCAGACTCCAGCTTGAACTCCCTATGGGAATGCATATCCCCTGAAAGGCGGAACTCTATCAGCTGGGATTCGCCGACAGTGAAGCGTTCTGGTAGACTGGCCCGGTAAATGCTCGACTTCGGCACCGCAGATACAGATCCTTCGTGTTCCGTCATGGCTTTGTCAAGCGCTGCAGCAATACGTCCTATATCTATCCAAGGACACGTGCAGTTGTCTGGTTATAATAAAACAATCAGAAACATTCTCTTGGTTCAATGGAGGTTCCGGAAATCACTTACTGCAGTCTTCATCCTCAACCCACAACTCAACAACTGTAGTATACCGGACCCAGATAAGGCGCGATCCATCAGCTGACTCGAGGGCATAGTTTCCAAGCTTGTTGTTTTTCGTAGGTCCGTAAGTTCGCCAATCGTGAAATTCCAGGGGCTCATCCTTCATTGCCTTGATGGCCTTGACGTAGCTGTTACACTGGGTGACTGTTACACTGGGTGACTGTCACATTCAGGTCATAGACAGAGTCGCCAGGCCCGGATGAATCCTTTCGTTCGCAATTCAAGTAGAGCATTTGCCGAAATCCATGGTTAGTGAATTCTGCGCGGTCACTGTAGCGTTCAACAAGAGCCTTGGGAAGGTTCATGCAGCAAATGGCCTGGAGAGTGCTGATATCCAAGGGAAGATGAGTGACGCGGCATTCGTGACCATCGGGAAAATCTTCGTTCAGGCCCTTTGCGATGATGGATTCAATTGAAGGGGCAAGTAGCTGAGCGACTTGAGCTTTGGGGTCTGGTCCTGACATCGTTGGCAAATGACGGTGGAGGGGGGGGGGCGGTGCGTTGCGGCAAGGACTGGTCACTAAGTGAGGCTGGGGTGATGTTGTCCGTCGATGTTGTTGTACTGAAAGACAAGTGAGGAGATAGGAGTCGAGGTATAGAAGGAGAAGAAACAGGATATTCTCGCGGGGGTGAGGGAGATATTTATACTTGATGAGTGAGAGGTCGACCTCTCCTTGAACCCACATCTACTCCATCCAATCTGATCAACTGGAGGCAGAGAGGTGCGCAGTTCTCGCAATCATCTCGAACACCTACGGGGAAAGGGATGAAGGATCTACGGTAAAACTTGTTTCGTTTGTTGTCATGACTATTCATCCATTTACGTTGCCTGCTTACCGACGGTGAGCAGGAAAAAAACTCTCTCTTTTATCTCAACTACTGATCAAATCGGACGAGCTATGAACTCTGTGCGAGGCTCTGCTGCCTAATAACCCGCCACAAGCCAAACACCTTGATGATGCTGAACTTCGGTCGGGAGTTCATTTCATTCTTCGCCTCAAGATAGAGTTTTCCTTATTCGATAGAACCCCCAACAAACGGAAACGGATTTGTTGTCCTGCCTCTTGCCAGGCGAGGAAATCTCTAGCAATTGCAGTTTTATATTTACCAGAAGACGAGTTGACCACACGAGCTTGAAGTATCTGCGCCAAATTTACACCGTATCTTGCTCTTTCCATCTCAACATCATCTTATTCATAACCGCTCCCTGTTAGTCCCTTTCCCCTTTGCCGTCTGCGGGTCTGCGACTTGCTCCCCGTCTCATCGAGGTAGGCCCGTCTCAGTTTGTTTGTTCACCCACTTTAGTCTCCCATATCAGCTTTTCCATCGCAGCAACACACGACACCTTCGCGGAGCAATACATGGCTAACTTCATACAGCGGAAGGTCATTTCCTGTGAAATGACTCAGCCCAAGGGACTGTAGCACGCTCGATTCCCATCATCACTAATGGCAATCTACTCTTCTTCCGCCATCTTTCATAACCCTGTAGATCTAAGCTGACAGCCCTCATGAACTAGCTGGCTCATCTTTCAGAATGCTTTCTAACCTCTCCAAGCTTTCTAAGCTCGTAAGGCAATCCGAGCCTTCGTCGGTGTCGGATCTATCAAAGCGACTGTAACATTGCAGATCAAACACCTTCTCCGCAGGCCACATCGAAGTCTTATGAGCAATTCGAATGACCAGCTGCGCTTTCGCTTTCACCTTCCGACAGACCACCTCAAGCTCGTTCTCAACGACACCTTCAGCCGTTCTACCCTCAACCGGACCGTAGTTGGCTGCTTTAATCACCTCGAAGGCCTTCTCTTCTTGGTACAACACGAACTCCCTGTGGTAATCGGTGCTTGGGCAAAACTCAAACCTCAGTAGCTCCAGCTTGTCGAGAGTGAAGCCGGGCGGGATGGTCGCACTCCTAATATATCCCTTTGGAACAGTCGATATAGGCCCTTCGTGGTCTTTCATCGCTTGGTCGAGTGCCGTCGCAAGCCGTCTAACGTCTATGACCAGACCCGTGCTCGAACCTGGAGAGATTGCTCAATGGTCAGTTTCTGATGTTTTTGTTTCCTCAAGATACGATGTGTAACAAGTATCACTTACCACTAGACTGGCCTGTGTGGTTGGTGTACAGTAACTCGACTACGGTGGTCAACCGCACCCAAATGAATCCCGTTCCTTTTTGATTCTCCAGGCTGTAATTCCCAAGTCTATATCTCGCAGACCCATATTCAGTCCAACCCTTGCGGCCCTTTGCCCAAAGAGCGTCCCTCATTGACTTAACGGCATTCAAGTAGCTGTTGCACTGCCTAATCGTCACACATAGTCTACCTGGAGATTGGTCGGGATTCGTAGGGCTGTTTGGTCGACAGGTGAACTCGATTGTGCGTTCAAGACCGTAGTCCTCGAAAACATCACAGTAGTAATCTCTCCGAACAAGGATTTTCGGGAGGTTGACTCGACAGAGAACTCCCAGAGTGGTAGGATCCAAGGAGAGGTGGGTGGTGAGCATACCGCGACTCCATGGAAAGTCCTCGTGCCGAGCCTTGGCAATGATGGACTCGACGGATGGAGCAAGCAGCTCGGCAAGCTCAGCTTTGTCAGGTGGTATCGACATCGCTGCTAGTGAAATTGGGAAAGGTCGTGTTCGTAGAGGGTGATCGAGTGAGCAGTTGGAAAGCGTTGATCCTGCTCGACTAGGCAGGACAGGTGGTCGTGAATGTGAGACGGATGGAAAAAGAGGAGGGAGGATTCGGCCATGCTTGGGAAGAAATTGTGAGTGGGATCGTGAGTGGGAAGTGAAAGCTGTATCCACGGTCCGCGAGCCCGGGAAAGTGCGAGGGTGCACCTCATAACCCTCACCGGATGCTCTTTCTCATTTCAGATTCTCATCGTACCTTCCTCATATTTCTTGTCAGAGTTGCCCACAGGAGGGGGCAAGCTGAACGCCCCTTCCGCTTGTGGACGGTAGCTAAGCACCGACTTGCGATCTGCTCCTGCTCTTGCCGATGATGAACAGAGCGACTGCGTCAAATTCTGCTGCCCAGCACTTCGTGGCAGGCCAGATGTACCTGACGTCATTGAAGCATCGTGGGTGGTTCTTTCACTTATCCGATAGTGAGACGACTCAGAGGAAAGAGCAAGAGGGCTCCAACTCGGCCCGGCGGACGTTACTCTCTAATTTTTTTACCAGATGATAGGTAGAGGTAGCAGTTGGGGACGACCTGTGGTACACGACCCCGGAGTTCCTGTCTCCCTCCTTCTTATGCGATACAAAATTCTTTGTGCTGGAGACTCCAGCTTTTTTACTCTTCCGCAATCGTTTTGTTGTCTCACGAATCTCCTGCCACAGTGTCACTGTTCATTGGATGACCACGATGCCCAGGGAAGCTCGAGAGTAGTGTGCTCTCGGGAATCGAATACCTTCGAACTAGATAGCTGACCGCCGTTTCTGCTTTCGTCTCAATAGTAAACCGGTTACTCATCATCCTTCATCAAGCCTCAACTACCAAATTTGGGGTGTGACCTCGTCAGGCGAGGTCCGTACCAAAGCAGGAAGGTCTGGCCAACGGGGCGGCAACAGCAATCTGGCCGTTGCTAAAAATTCCAACGCTTGCCCAATACTTGAATTTGTACACACGGTCAGCGGACCACAAAGTTTGATTTTCCAGGCGTTTGGCAATTTGAAATTGTGTAAATCCTGTCATTCAACCATTCCTTGACCATTCCCAAAGATCAAGCGTTTGGGAAATCAAATGTTGGAAGAGTTTGAGTGGTTCTTTTACTATTGAATAACCGTTTGAACAGGTAGGTTCGAACGGCTTAGAAAGTCAAGGATTAGGCAACCGCTGGCTGGACCTCTACTCACCCATTACGGGTATATATAACCTTCTTTTCTTCCCCTCCACCGTTATGTACTCTTACTTTTCTCCTTGACGTCCAACAACTCGGCTTCACAACTACTTCGCCAAGCTCCTGGAACTTCAAGGACACTCAGCACCTTACCTCTTCTCGAGTGGCCAACACGGTCCACCACTTCGTTGCAGGCCATGGAATCTGATGACGACGTCTCGTTATTTTACACTCAATCACTCATTGCCGAATGCAAAAATGAGGATTTCGGAGAGCCGGACACTACCACCCTTTTTCCTTTGGATCCTGACACACTGGATAACATCTGCCGCGTGAATATTCCAGGAGTCCCGCTCACGAAATATGGGGTTGACCCTGGCTACTCCAGGCATGGCTTTAATCAATGCCTCTCCCTCCACACCGGAGCCGACTTGAATTCATTGGAGGTGAATATTACTCAGTGTTGCAGCCATTATAATGCCCTCAGGGCTATGGATGAGTTCATCGACGATCGTGGGAGCGATTCGGTGTATGCGCTGAAATGCGAGGGACTGGGAAACCATGCAGTCGAGATTGAGTGTACCGACTCCTCCGTCTATGAACGCTGCACCGTAGCAATCTGGGTAAGATGGACGACTGCGATTGAGATCCGGTCAAGCGGCAGTAAGTAAGACGTCCACTCAAGGTGATATAAGCATCATCAGCTAACGTCCTCGGTTTAGAGCGAGAAGAAGACCCGGAAAACCCGCTCGTTGATATCAAGCGGCTCGCTTCAGCTCTCGACACAGCTATGAAAGAACACAAGGGCACCATCTCTCAAGTTCCGAAGGTCACTGTCGGCTTGGAGCAATCGGAAATCCCACTGTTCAGGGAGGAAGGTCAAATTGAGCACATCCAGATGACGTTCCAACCTGAAACCCACCCGAGGAAACCATTCCATGTCGAAGAGGCACATTCCAGCGGTGCTAAGTTTGAGATCGGCTGCGATCCCATTTACTCTCGAACCGCCCCCCGTAGCAGGGAGCATTTGATCTGGAAGCCCTATGGCGGGGAATGCAGCTTCCCAGATTATGGCATATTTTTGAGATGCAAGAAGCTCGGTCATGCAACACTCAGGATCAAGATAGTCCACAAGTCGTCACTGTGGCCTACCATTGAGACATTTAACTTACACTGATCACTTCTCAAATACGAGATTTCGGCCTAATAGAGTTTGAGAGCGTTTAGGCTCGTCCAAGCACCGGGTATATTTTCCAACTCCGTCCAAGACCCATAACACTGGAGATATCACATAGCAACCTCATAACTTGGTGTCGGGGACCAGCCCTCGCCATGTTACCCAACCATTTTTCTTTCCAAGCCCCAAGCCCCGAAGCAAAACACCAAAACGCCAATGCCGGTTTCTAAAGTTTCAACTCACGATCATGCCCCGTTCAGTCCGAGAACACCTCCTCACTCTCGTCATCAGATTCATCCTCCAACATTTTCACTTCCGAAAGGACTCCTTCCGAAATGACTCGGAAGAGGTGATTCTGTCCTTTCACCTCTTGCTCCAAGCTGAGTTGATGTTGTCCCTCTACGCCATGCATATGAGAGACACTCGACGAGATGCTGCATAGGGCTCGCAACACTCCAGACTCGAGCTTATGGCCGAAGGCCTCAAGACGGTCAAGGCCGCCTTCCAACCTTGAGGCGAGTAGTTCCAAGTGACTGGTTCGGGGACAGGCAACTAGAGCAACGTTAATGTCAGGACCTTGGTCAAGCTATGCAATACCAATTACGTACTTCCAAATTCCCCCATCCGTTGTGCCTGTCCCAGTGCAAGTTTTGTGCCTCTGTTTGCTTCTTGATCTGTCCCACGTCGAGTAAATTTGTGCGTTCATTGTGCGGAAACTGAGATATCACTGCTCACCTTCGAGAAGCTTCTTGAAAGCATGAATCATCAAGTACGTGCTGGAAAAATGCCCGTTCTCTTTGAGCCACTCGCAGCTCACTCTGACGCTTTCCAGCTTGTTGAGAAATCTTTGCTGATATTGGTCACCGTGGGCTATGGCTGCCATGGCACGTCGGTCTGCAGAGCAGGGTCAATTGGATGACTTTTCCAGGGAAACCGGCGGTGGCAACTCACGTTTCGGCTTGACGAAGAAGGCGATTCCTTCTTCGATAGCTTCGAGGATGTCAACCACAAGAGCGGTTGCCGCTTCCTGGATGTTCTTGTCCTTTGGATGGAGCATCAGGAGGACCTCAATTTGGGCGAATTGCCGCTTGAGGGCTCTGAGGTCGAGAGATGCCCTAGCATGTTCGCGTACTCTTGATGCTACGATTGCTGCCTGTAAGATGAGAGCCCATTTAGCATCATCTCTTTTGTGGACATGGATTCTTGATCGCTTCCCGCCTTCCATACTTACATCAACAAGCAGCTTAACAATCCCCATAACCACCGACATATATTCCAGGTCCTTGGCAAACTCGATGGCCTGAACTCCTACATGGCCGTAATCGGCCACCTGGCGACACCGATCTTTAAACCTTCCTCGGCGTCGGCCAAGATCCCCGTCGTAACGCTCCCTCGCCTGTACGAGACAGTCCTCCACTTCTTCCCAGCTGGATCTGTGTCGGATGTTGTACTCGGGCAACGGACAGCACGGGCCCTCCCGCTTCTGCAGCTCACGCATTGCTGGACGGAAGATCTTGTCCCAGAACTTCATGGTGGAGATGGCTGGCAGGGCAGGCCTTACTGGGATCTTGTTGCTGCTGCTCCTGGTGAAGTTGGATTTGGCGGGCGACGAAGGATCGAACTCGTGCGCTGGCGCGGGGAGGTCTTTGATGTGTTGATGGAGAGCGGAAGCTATGCTGAATCTCCTGTTGTCTTCTTCTTTGAGTTTTTGGCATGAGCGTGACCGGCTGATTTTGTGGATGTGAACGTGAAGGTGACCCATGTCCACGAGCATGTTGGACAGATACGAGATGTGATATATGAGATGCTACAGTGTTGAAACTGGTCAATGAGGAGCGTGAAGTGAGTTCAAGGACTTCGGAAGTGAGGTTTTGCCTTTCTTCCCCTTTGCGTAGGTAGTGGGAGAGGACCCGGGGCTAGGTGCCTTAACATCTAAGACAAAAAAAAAGAAAATGAAAAAAACAAAATATGAAAAAAAAATTGAAAAAAATTGAAAAAAAAAAACCTGGGTGGACACTTTCAGTCCACGCGGAGCCTCAACTTGCTCTGCCCTCTCCACTGTCGCCGGTCGAGCATCGAGCCGATCAAACGCGTGAAGGCATTCCCATTTCGTCCATCCGCTGCCCTTATCTTGCAGCTTTTTGTACGACCATAGCAGAAAGCAGGAATTGTCTGCAGCGGCTGAAGAAAAAAAAGACTGGAGCCACTAAGGACCCTTTGAGAAACGCGGCGTGCAGGCAGCATGCTATGCATGGTTTAGCATGGGTAAAAATGGGGTAACACAGGAGCCCAGGAACGTTTTGTTTTGTCTGATATGACGCTCTGCGTGTGCCGGCTCCAAAGCCACGTCACTCGTCCAAACTGAAGAACTGCTTCGCCAAGCCGGTGATCGAAAGATTCTTCGACTTGGAATGGGGGTTCGAAATGCTCCTTGACCCCGTGGCCAGCACTCTGAACCCTCTGGGGTATATCCGACATTCCGGGTAGCTGGTCTCCCAGAGTCAAAATTGAGTTGGGCTGCAAGGATCACAGCCTTGTTGCTTGTTTCTGTGAGGCTTCCACGGAAAGATTGTCGGTAGATCCTCTAGCCGTTAGGCTTCAACGCCGACCAACGCAAGCGGATCAGCTGCCCCCCTCCTTGCCATCCCACCGATGGGACAGAGTGCCAAGAAACGTCGGAGTGCCGAAAAAGGCTTCTTTCAGCTCGAAACATCCATCTCCACGTTTCATCCAAAACCCCCTGCGTAAGGGACCGTCGATTGTTTTGGCTAACTGGCGAATCTTTTTCCTGGAAAAGGACTTGGTCAACACAGGATATTCCTAGGAGCCGATCAACCGTTGGCCGGTCTCTGTGGAGCGAACTCTATACCCTTTTGGTGGTCCAGTCCAATTGAGGCCCTTGACCTTTCCCATTCAGCATCAAACACTGATTCGATGACCTGCTTGTTGGGAGATGCAGGTGTCTGGCGATCCTACTGCAGTTGAACCCTGGAAGTTTTGTCAGATTGCACGGTTATGTGAATGTAGAGAAAATATGGGTTAATCGCTGTATTGATCGAGTGTGTGGAGTAGAAAGATTGCACATACAGGTTGGGGGATCCCCGAGTATTAGGAAGGTCTACAACGTTATTAGGGTAGTTAGGAGGCTAGTCTTCTTATAGAACCTTCGTCTTATTGGCTAGATATAGCCTACTAAATTAATATACCTCCCTAATTAAAATCCCGTTTAAGGATGAAGTTGAAGCTATTTATATATCGCCTTCCCATTTTTAATTATTTCCTCTACGTCTTCTAATTTAATATAATCTATTACATGTCCCTTTTTTTCTTTCTTCTTCTTAATTAAAGTTATTCCTAATAATCCCCTAAATTCTATATACTTTTACACAGACAGTACCTTCGTTAAACCGTCTATAAGTATCTTTACTATCTCTAAATACTTAATTTTAATAGTTCTAATTGTAACTTCTTATTTAAATTAGTGCTTATAAATATTTATATATTTTAATTTAGTTACTAACTTAGAGGCTTCGATTATTATTACCCTAATCGTTTGTTTATTATTATAGTCGATAGTAAGGATAGGATTTACGAATTTTATAATTAAACTTTATATTAGACGTATTATAAAGATAATTTCCTTTACTACGTTTAAAAGGGTAATAAACTCTACTTTAATTATTAATATAGTTACTGTTGTTTATTTAGTTGTTCCCTAGTATATTAAATTATTAAAGAATTTAATTATAAAACTGTATAAATTCTTTCGATTTATAGAATTATTTATAAAGGATATATTTAATGTAATTTATAGGATGTCCTCGCTTTTATAGTATAGCGTTATATTTACAATAGCGTATAAGTAGTATAATATTTTATTTATAGTTTTATAATAATTTAGACTAGGGTTGTGATTGTATTTGGCGAAGCGGCTTATAACGAAAGTAATATCCAATTGCATTATAATTATTACGTAGAGAATAGAGCCGATTTTAACTTAGTATTAATATATTGACTTATTAAATACTTAATTTTTAAAGGGTACGAATTCGATATTAGTTATAGGTAATTATATTATTTTTTTATCATTTATAAAGCGATATATTTTTTATAAGTATAATTATTGAAATAATTAAATTTTTCGTACTTTATAGTCTCGTATAATTTTAATACTTAGAAAGTATTGTAGTTCTTTACCTTTAATAAAATAGTATTACTTTTTAAAGCCATTTATATACTTATAGGCTTCTTCGCTTTTATTATAGTAGAAGGTAAAAATAATATTATTAATATAATAGAAGACAAATACGCCGTTATTGACGAAAATATAGAGTTCCTTTAGGATTGTTTTGAAATTTAAGGCAGTGAACGCATTAGTAAATTTACGTTACTAGAGAAGCGGGGAACGCCGTAGTCCGTATAGCGCCTTTATAACTTTTAGTACTTTACTTAATCCCTAGTATTTTAAGAGTATATATATATATATTTCTTTATTTATATAAGCATTAATAAAAGTATTAACGGCGTTATATTAAATCAATTCGAAATTAAAGCGTATAATTATAATAATAAGGGTACGGAAAAATCGGCCGGCGAATATAAAAATATATATTTTTTACCCTATTTCTTTCTTTTATTAATTTTCTCGTATGACGAGACGTACTTTAATTTTAGTGAATTTATTATTTTTAAAGAATTTATATATATATATTTATATGTAATCGAGTAATTACTTCCCCTTAAACCTTAATTCGTCCTTATCGATTTTTATTTAAATTTCTATTTCTTTATAGTTATTAAAATAGATTTACTTTATTTCTTTAAAGAAGTTTCTAAGAAGGTAGTAGTTAAGAAATTTGTAATTCTTTAGCGGCGGTAATAGTTTTTAGCGGTAGATAGTTTGGAGTTTATTTATAGAGACGAAGGAATCGAATTTCTTTTGGGTAATAATTTTATTCTTTTGGGAGAGGCGTTTTAATTCTACTTTTATAATTATTTTACCGTAGTATTTAGCCGTAGGTTAGTAAAATCTTTTTATATTAAATACGGCCTTTTATAGTTCGAAATTGTAGTAAATTTCGTCTTCGGTACGTTTATTGAAGTAAAAGTTTATAAGAAAGGATACGGGCGGTAGTATATTAGGAAGAGTGGGGTAATTTTTATTAAGGACGAAATCGAAGGATATTTTATTAGTGGGGGAATTCGAATTTTTTAGTTAGGGTTTTAGAGAATTGTAGTCGGTTTCTCTTTTTTGAGGGGTTTAGTTAAATTCTAATAGTAAATTTGGGAGATTGTATATTTAGGCATTTTCGAAATTAATTCGGTTATTTACGGAATTTGGTATTTTTAGCGTTAGTTAGGATTAGTTATATTGGTTGAGTAGTATTATAAATTCATTAGAGGTAATTTATAAAGATTATATTTCCTTTAATAATTCTTTTAGAAAAAAGACTATTTTTATTAAATAATATATTATAAGTATTAATAATTATATTTATAATTAGGTTTTAGATTTAGTAAATTGAGGAGGTTATATCATTGATAAAGTATCCTATTTATGCCTTAGGATTTATTTTTTAGTATTTTTGTTCTTTCTTTTGGGCGGTAGTAGTTATTGTATATATGTTGTGATTATAAACGCGTAAGTATATTATATTTGGTTTGCGTAGGGACGATATATAAAAGTTATTTTAGTAGGCGATAAATGTATAAAATTATTTATAAGAGGATTTTTAATCATAGAATTATTTGAGCGATTAGTTATTAAAGTAAATTACTATAGAGAGAATATTTAATTATAGATCTTTCGCGAAATATATATTTAGATTTAATATTCGAAATTTCTTTTTAATTATATTTCCTGAACGTTTTGTACTATTATTCTATATTTAGGTATTTAGGGTAGAGGGTTTTATAACTATATTTTTAAAAGTATGGAAGTTTTTTATTATTTTAGAGCCGGTAATTTTATTATTGTGACGGCGCGGCTCAACCGCTGGTCAGCATTGCTCCCATGGCTGCATTTAGCGCAGAGGCTCCACCGGATCCACTGTAGGGTTCTTGGCAGTGTACAGGATTATATTCTTTGCGCCGCAGCCATTCTTTGTATTCTAGTTCTTCTTTTTCCTCATCTTTCAAGCTTCATACAATAGTAGGGTCATTGTCGCTTTGTCGCATTCCTTTCCCGCTGTTCGTCGTGATAATTATTATATTCGATAATTTTAAATTAGATATTATATTAGTTAACGAATATAGTAAAAAGGTTATTTAAAAAGGAGGTAATAATTATAATTTTTCGCTTTATTATATAATAGTTTTAAATATATCCAGCATACTGGTAGGTAATAAATATAACGTTAGAGTATTTTTGACGACTTTTATTATAATTTAGGAAATTGACGGCGAATTCTTTTTTTTATTTATAATTATATTTTCGAAATTTTCGTTTAATTTATTACTTTATTTTCAATATTGCGTAGGCGTTATAATTTACGGTTATAAGTCTTTTAAGGCGGGCTTTTACGACGTTACTAAAATAATTTAATATTTAAGGACTGTAGTAACCGAATTGATAATATTAAATAATAGTTTCTGTTTTATAGTATTTTCGGCTAGTTAGCAAATTAAATCGGGTTTATTGCGTAAAGAAGGCGGTTTTCGAGAAGTTTAGGGAGAGATTTTTAAGGATTGTTTGGTAGTAACGTATAGAGAGGCTATAGAAAAGGGAATTATTTAGAGCGTATAAATAGTTATTTAGGAGTTTTTAGTCTTAATAGAGACTTTTTTTATATAAGAGGTAAAGAAATACGAAGTTGGTTATAAAGTTTGGGTAAAAAATTATATTGTTTAATTGAAACTTTTTGGGTCCTTTTATTCTTTTTATAATAATATCTATATTTCTATATCCTTTAATAAGAATATGAGAATCCCTAGTTTAGAGCTTATTATTATATAGAGTATAATGAAAATTAAGAAAGTGAGAGATTTCGTTAAATATGTGGAG